GTTCCGGTCGTCTGGCTCCACCATCGATTGTATTTGTACAAACGGTGGTGTTGAGCGCGCCGGCACGCTGCACTGTGACTATAGTCCCCACAACTGGTCACGTGCTCTAGTGCCGCTACCGGACTACCGCCCTGCGCCGTGCGCACTGACGGCCAGGTGCTGGCGCAAACTGGACCTGCCGAGGACGAATCGACGTCTCCAAAATGTGGACTGGGGCCCAGTGTACGGCAGTGTCGGTCCCGGAGAGCTGTGACACTGTTTCCATGCAGTGACTCGCCCTATCGTTGATGTTTTAGCACCGACGAAACGTTTAAAAGTGCGCCATCCGACAGCACCACCGGTCACGGAAGCTACTAAAGACCTGATGGCCCGGCGGCGTGCCGCACTCCGTGATTATGACCCCGAGACGCATAAGGACCTAAACCGGCAGGTCAGGTCGGCAGTGTGTCGTGACACGAGGGAGGAGATTGACAGGCGTGCACGGGAGGATGGGCCGAGCTCGATGTGGCGCAGTGTGCAGCCTGTTGTCTCATCTAAGCCGCCAACCAGGTCCACACCTGATGCGGACGCGGACGACATGAACCGGTACTTCGCCAGCGTTGGTACCGCGACCGCCCGCCAGGTGAACTCCTCGGGGCCGGAACTGACGGTAAGCCTGCCGCGCGTGGCCACCGGCTGGTTCCAGGTATGGCCCGTTACACCGGAGCAACTGTGACGCGTCATAGCCCGCATGCGCAACAGTACATTGTGCGGCGCAGACGGATTGTGTATCCGGTTTTTTTAAACTGTGTATTGACGCTATCTGTCCCGCGATCGCCCATATTGTGAATGCTAGCCTGACAGCCCATGTAGTTCTCGACTCGTGGAAGTCGACAATAGTACATCCTATCCAATAGACGCCAAAATCCACTGATGCTTTTAATTACAGGCCTATCTCAATTTTACCAACTATCGCAAAGGTTACCGAACGTGTAGTTTACGAGCAGCTGTTTGCATATTTCACCTCTCATCACCTGTTCTCGTCTAGTCAACATGGTTTTAGATCATATCACTCCACTGACACGGCGCTTCTCACGGTACCCGACAAAGTTTTTCAGGCCATGGACCAAAGGGAAATAATCTTGTTATGCATACTGGATCTATCCAAGTGCTGTGATGTTATCCCACATGATGGGCTCCTTAGAAAGCTTCAACTGTACAATGTTGATATACGTCGTTCTGCGAGTTACCTCCAAAACCACTTTCAGCAGGTTCTCGTCCGGAACCCAGGTGGCACTTCCTCTCTGTCCGCGGCATTGCACAACCCGATCGGAACCTACCAGGGCTCAGCGCTCGGCATGCTGCTGTACAACATTTATGCTAGTGGTATGCCGCTGTATGCTCATCACGCATGTATTGTGCAGCACGCGGACGACACGCAGGTTTTAGTGAGTAGGAGGCCCGGTGATATTGGTACGTTGATCACATCCATGAAGCAACATCTTTCACACCTGTCCAAATGGTTTGGCAAAAATGGTTGAACATTAGCGCACAAAAAACACAGCTCATAGTCCTCAGCACGCGTCAAAATCTTCGGAGCCTGCCACCGACTAGAAGCAAATTTATGGGCGCCACTGTAGCCAGCTTTGCTTCCGTTCGAAACCTGGGTGTTGTATTTGACCAGTGCAGGACGTTCAAGGCACACACTGATGACGTCGTGCTGCGATGCATTGGGGTTCTTATCGGCCTCAGCCACAGCCGGCACAGTCTGCCTCAGGCCCCACTCATTACTCTAGTCCAGGGTCTAGTCATCTCACTCATCCGTTACTGCATCTGTGTGTACGGAACATATAATGCTACTCAAACATTACGACTGCAGAACCTGCTGAATTTCGCAGCACGAGTCACCTCTGGGCGTCGGAAATATGATCATGTGAGCGCTTTTTTAAGGGATCTCGAAGGGATGTCTGCTGGCAACATGTTCTTATATAATACACTGACACTTCTGAAACGCATCCTGGAAAGATCCCAGCCGGATTCGCTATCTGATCACCTTATCCATAGACGCCATATTCACTATCGCACAACGATGCTGGATGATATGTTACATGCGCCGGTGATCAGATCCGAATTGGAAAGGCGGGGTTTTGTTTACTCCACCGTGACCACCTACAACGCACTACCGCAGAATATTCGCGAGCTGAGCCTTCCACAACTCAAACGCGAGTTGCGTAGTTATATCCTGCAGCGGCGGATCAATAACGGATAGCGACGCCTACTTCACATGACTTAAGCGAATGTGAGAGAGTGTGTTCTGTGTATGTGTGCCTGCGCGTGAACGTGTTTGCGCGAGCTTCCCTGACCTGCAATGTTTTATTTCCATGACACGGGCTCTGTTATAGCCACATTCTGAATGGATTGGGATTATGACGTAAAATAAATAAATAAATAAATACATAAAGGTTAGGCAGCGAGCTACTAGATGCTCATGGCCCTCCACATTGATTTAGGCTCTTTTTTATCTTATAGCCGAGGAACCGCTTTGTCCTATAGAGGTCCTTTCTGTAAACCTGCCCGGGCACTTGTGATCGCTCAGGGGCATTAATTTATGTACAACGGTCCTAGGTAATTTCCCTTTGCTAAGTGGGCCCTGTGCTCTGACCAGGGTCATAAATGTCAACCTCCTGGGACACTTTTGATTGCTCAGGGGCCCATTATGTTAGTCTTGGTGCCTAAGCCCTATAGCACCAGTTGGATTTGCATCAATTCATTTTTACGCACAATTGTCGAACATAACTTTACCTGTCGCCGGCGTTGCATGTGCTTTTTCCGTCAAATATTGAATTTGTGGCGCCTTGTATACCTGGGCATCACATTTTTTACGTAAACTCGGGTCTAGGATATTTTGTACTCCTTCATAATAGACGTGGCAAAAATTCTGGCTAGCCGTAAATAAGCTAGTAATCAAGTTCATGCTTGTCTTTCATGTCATTTAGCATCCAACTGCAGTTTTTGCCATCTTTTTCCAAAAAAAACCTTAGGTTAAAAATGACAGAACGCATCGTGATCTAGAGAAAATGAATAAGCTCCATGCATGTGCATATGTAGTACGCGTAGGTTTCTAGGGATGCGCACGGTAAAGTGGGTCCCCGTGTAAAAATATGCTAAGAATTTTGCAATTTACTGGATGTAATGTCACGATTTTTTGGACGAGGCCCCAAACTTTAAGGGGTCACACAAAGTTGCATGCCCCCCAGCCCCTTGACTAAATCCTAGATCCACCCCTGTTCTATTGAGAGACCTATATTCATCATCCTTGACCGCCTGTAGCATCATCCCGAATTTCCTCCTATCAAGGTTTCACGTGCCCTTTTGAACAATCGCTGAAAGCCTGTACGCTTAAAGTTCCTTTTTGCGGGCCTGATGGACGGATGTGTTGTGATATTGAAGGCGTTGCGGTGGGCTCTCCTCACGGACCTTCATTCGCCAAGTTCTTTGTGGGACATGTGGAAGCCGACAAGCTTCAAAGTGACGAAAGAAGACCGGGCACATCATGTCTTTATACAGACGATATCTTTGTGAAGCCCAGGGACACTGAGCAGCTAGAACGTCTAAAAACACGTGTCAAGAGCGATCTGGCTTCACCTTCACAAGAGAACTAAGTGCGGAAAATGTAACACCTTTTCTTGACGTAGCTGTTGATCAGGATAAGGAACGGCTTGGGAACTACTGCGACCGCATCGTGGCCAGGCAGGGGATTACGAACTGGTGGAGGCCTTAATCCGTTCAGCACGAGTTAAGAGCAGTGTGCCCTAACTGACATCGTGCCGTTATACACGCATCTTGGTTGCCTCCATCAGCATGGTTACAGTCGTGATCGTGCGCTGTAAGTGGCTGTTCTACTCTGATGTCAACACGCCGGACGGCGACGAGTTGAGAACCACTCCTGGCCGGTTGACTCTGCGTTAGTTTTACAGAGCACCCACAACAGGCTCAATGACCACTTCGGAATATGTGCTAACATAGGATCTCAAAAGAAATTGTTTCTTTACGTCATCCAACTCCAGGTTTCATTTCTGCTAGCGCTTAACACTTTACATCAGATCAGATCAGGTCATCAGATCATCAGATATGTGCCAGCGGGGACGCATCAGGTAAAGTTTTCGGCGGGGACAAAGTCCAGTTTTGGGGGATTGCAATTTGCACCAATTTGATGGCCTTAATCGGAGCCCCTTCTGCAGTCATGACCTTTTCAGGCTTATGGTATGGAGAGGAGTGGATAACGGTAAGGCAGAACTACACGCACCTAGAGGCCCACCCACCAAACGTAAGTGTGCGCAGGGCGCTTCGCCGGGGAATGTGCTGGGTGCCCGGACCAGTTCCCCCCCCCCTCCCCCAGCCCGCGCCAGGGGGAGCTTAACCCCACTCGTGGCTGGTGCGTGTAGCCGGCGCGCATTCACGGAGTGTCGCGAGGACTCAGAATAAAGCAAAAAGGAGGAAAATTGAGTGGATGCCATTGCGCTAAAGCTGTACATCATCAACGCAAATTTAATTGCTTTTCACCATGGCTGGCTGTTCGGATTACCTATCGTATGTGTCATACAAAGCAAGAAATCTGCACTTTATTGCAACGCTGGACTGGTTCCACGCTCAAGCAAATCACGTTACCTAGATCCGCGGCTGTAGTTCTCGACCGTTTTGTGCAATGTTTTGCGAATCCAGGGTTTTAATGCCATCTGTACTGAACACAACACATTTTCTACCCAGCCGCCAACAACGAAAAGCTGGCTTGACATAACTCAACACCTTTGTCAAGTAGCGTAGCTGGGGAGCGTGCCCACCACTGCGGGACAAATTCGTGGGGGGTTACCAATTATTTTTTAGCACCCACATCCTTTCTATTGTTCCTTTCTCCAAAATGTTGTGTAACTGGGTCCCTCGGGCCTTCTTCCATCGCGCGGATCCCGTTTCCAGGGCAGGAAGACCGCTCGACCGATCGCAAACGCCCAATGTATTACATGTTAATCTTTATCGTGCATCACGGCCGAGGCAGAGCGCGTCAACGACCCTGGATCGGCACAATATCGAAGTCGGAACGAAGCAGAGCGGGTCAACGACTCTGGATCGGCACAATATCGAAGTCGGAACGAAGCAGAGCGCGTCAACGACTCTGGATCGGCACAATATCGAAGCCAGACCGAAACAGGCAATTGGGATATTATATATGACTGATGCACTAGCACGGCTATCACATCGTATAAACCTGATCTCGGTTACCTTTATGTAACCATGTTTGACGAGAAGCCCATCAAGGTTTGTTTGAAGTGTTCAATCAAATTAGGAGCATTACATGCGCAGATAGCTTGCTAAGAACACCAAGCGACTGCGAATTAGGAGAGCAACGATCATCAGCTACATAAACCTGCGTAGTCAAGTGCCGAAACAGACTATTTGAAACACTGGACACGCGCGCTCAAATTGTTGCATGTATCACAGGCAGTTCGCCAGCTGTGCGGATACCGATAGCCATGCACCGGCGTAGCATGTGTTAAACCTGTATAACTACAGCGGTAGGTGAGTTTCAAGCGTATGGCGACATCAACTTAACTAGCAGACCAACCCTCCACTAACACGTCGACAGTGACGCGAGCAGAGTGGCCACTACGCGCGCTGCATGACGTCATCACCTGGATCCAGTGACCGGGACCAGCGCCAGCGTAGGGCCAAGCAGGCATTGGCGGTTGGCTGGCGACTGAGCGAGCAAGTGAAGAGATGTATACAGCGATGAGGTGCTGACAGGGGTACTGAAGGGCGTTGAGCTCTGGTGGCACGAGTGGAGACAAGTGTGACGTCGCTGGCCGAACAGGTGAAGGCCGGCCAGTCCAAACACCGGTGTTGTGCGGCTGTGAGAGGGGCATGTGTGACGTCACGTCACCGTCCTGGGGTCCACTGCGGAACGGCCAGCACAAGCTGGCAGACAACGTGATATAGTGCAGACAAGCGACTCTGGCCGGCCCGATCTCGGCTCAGGGCACCGTTGACCTTCCGTAAAGTCAAGCTATTGCACGACAGCGCGGCGCTAAGCGTCCCGTCACGTCTCCTGGCGCCCGGCGCGCACGCCCCAGCTCAGCACGACCGAGCGTCACTACGAGGCCACATCCGCGGCGCCTCACTCCACATCACCAGCGGCGGGGCTCGCCCGCGCCTGACGTCCGTCTCCTGGAAGAGCCCGCCTTCCTGCAGTAGTCCACTGAGCGTCACGTCGACTTATCCTGGAAGTCTGGAGGCCGGGCGGCGGGGCTGGGGTGAAGTCTGACCGCGGCCGACAGCGCCGGATCCACTCCGTGCGCGCTGCGGCGGCTGGGCATCTGCGCCCGGCCGACCAGCCGGATGACTTCTGAGGCCACCGTACAGGTGGCATACGTCGCGCAACGAGGCGGCAGTATGATGAGAAATAAGCGGATCTAGCCGGCTTGCCGTTCCCGCCATCTAGCCAAGGTTGCGGCAAACAGCCACCGGTCGGCCCGCATGACGCCGCTGGAGCACGAGGTCGACCAAAGTGAACACCCGTGAAGCTGTGTGACGCACTAAAATAAGCATCGCAGTGTTCAGATCAATATCGGTATTCATAGAACTTTACAGCATGCTATGCTTCGACGGTCGGCTTCTCGTCAATCACGAATGACACCACGTCTAGCCTTTAAAGCAGCGACCCAACAATGATCATTCAAGAACTTTTCGCCCAAACTTTTGTGTGCGAGACTACTCGTCCAGGCCCTTTCAACCAATCATTATTGAGCAACTCTGAAACAGTGGCCAGAGTGATATGAATGTCGAATTAACACGCTACCAACAATGACAAGCGTTGCCTAATGAGGGCGATGCTTTGGACGATCCTTTAGCAGCCTTTGTGTGATAGGTACTTGAAACGTACAGCAGGTCTACACACGGCCACGAGGCGGACTCATTTGTGCCAAATTATCGTCATCTAGGACATGTAAAACGAAGATCGATGAATGATTAGCCTGAAGTTCAAATCACAACGGTTGCTCTCGATTGGATTTGTTGGGCATGGACGTCGTCGTCTGGCTGACGAAATGTCTAAACCACTGACCGCGGGCTGAGAAGCTGAATGAAATGGAGGGAGAGCGCCTACACCGTACCAACTCGCGTTGTCACGCACATTATTGCTCGAACGAGATCGATGTCATAACCACACAAGTCACTACATGAGTACGATACAAACATTTTAACGATCTGCAAGTTTCTATCCAGTTGGGCTTCCCACGGGTTGTCCTGGCTATCGAGGGAAGGTCGCATAAAACGATCAACATGACGTCCCAATTTTCGACTGGCCGGCAATCATGACAACTATCCGCGGCATCCATTGCCTACTCGTGGCATTGGTTGACATTCGTTCATGCCTGTCCGCAACATCGAGCAGCGATACCACTGAAGCACGAGCGTGCACCCGCGCCGTCCATAATCATCAGGCTTGCTGGGCGGGAACGCTCCGTCCTTGCTGCCCGAATAACGAATCACTTCTCCGTGTTATAGTCGCTCTCTGACGGTCATGGTGCCGCCTTCAGACAACATCCTCTTGTCGTTTCGGCCGTGATCAGCTGCACGCCTAACTTCAGTTGCGATCCTCCCATGTTCAGCACGCGAGACGGAAGCCAAAGATAATCGTATGCTGGAAAAAACGTAGAGCATTAGCCCCGGAGCGCGCCTTCGAATCAACATCGCATTAGGACCGCATTACCCGAGGTCAGACAACAGGCTGTAAGTGCAACGAGCGCTCAGCTTCGAAGGCGGCGCGGCGATGCGTCACGTTTCTGTGTCCATCGGCACGACAAAAGTCACGTTTCTGTGTCCATCAGCACGACAAAAGTCACGTTTCTGTGTCCATCAGCACGACAAAAGTCACGTTTCTGTGTCCACCGGCACGACAAAAGTCACGTTTCTGTGTCCATCAGCACGACAAAAGTCACGTTTCTGTGTCCATCAGCACGACAAAAGTCACGTTTCTGTGTCCATCAGCACGACAAAAGTCACGTTTCTGTGTCCACCGGCACGACAAAAGTCACGTTTCTGTGTCCATCAGCACGACAAAAGTCACGTTTCTGTGTCCATCAGCACGACAAAAGTCACGTTTCTGTGTCCACCGGCACGACAAAAGTCACGTTTCTGTGTCCACCGGCACGACAAAAGTCACGTTTCTGTGTCCATCAGCACGACAAAAGCCGGCGCAGACTGGGCTTTAGAACGTAAACTTGAATGAAGTACTTACTTTAACCGGGATGGTTCAAGGCTTACCTGTTTTCTACTTGCAAAGCCTACGTCTCTACCGGTGACATCGTACTCTTTCCGCTGGAACATAGGGAGAGTACGTGAGGTCAGAAATAAAGAACACCTGGCCATCGTAACGACGCACACGGCACAGTGGTCTAATGCACCCGCTAATAATACAGGTACATTTTTGGCACACACGGCACAGTGGTCTAATGCACCCGCTAATAATACAGGTACATTTTTGGCACACACGGCACAGTGGTCTAATGCACCCGCTAATAATACAGGTACATTTTTGGCACACACGGCACAGTGGTCTAATGCACCGGCTAATAATACAGGTACATTTTAGGCACACACGGCACAGTGGTCTAATGCACCCGCTAACAATACAAGTACATTTTTGGCATATCGAGCCAACATTGAGCACAAATAACTAGCTATCGACCAATTCTAAGGTCCTGCATAACTCCAGTCTAAAATGCGATGTAGCAAAGAAAAAAACGACTCGGAAAGAAGGTAAAGGCTGTGGTTGAGGGGTGAACCAAGACGCAAAGACTGGAATTTCAACCGCTAGCTGCACGCTTCCGCGCCACTGCGATGTGAGGGTTAGCAATGCATATGGTAATACATACACCATTTAGGGATCTGCATGACATAAGAGTGTGGTACATAATACAATTAAAAGGAAGAGCTACGCTCAGATTTTTTCGAAACCAAGGGTACTTACCTATTCAAACAATTTGGACCTATTCGATACACCAAGGGGTAATGATAAAACAAACATGCCAAGTAATCACCGGGATATTGTTCTGGGGATACCCAACGCTTCAGGTAGTGTTCAGAGGCGCCAGTCAGTCACCTGTAACCGCGACCATCCGCCCGCTCGCAACCATGAGCTGAGACTTGTGACCCCAAATACGGTCTGCAATGTTGGGTATTCTCATAATGTATCCGAACGATTGGCTGTATGTTCCTTAAGCAGCGCACCTGGTATACTGGAAGTCGGCTTACGTCGGTATAATAAAAGTCACACACCGGAAAACCAGGAGTTCGAGTTGATTCTCTATTACAATAAAAACAATATCTGCATTCGTCATGCCGTTAGCTACACTGTTTAGAGGTCACCTCCCGAAAAGCCAAGGAAACCCCATCGAAGTGACACGATGCAGTCCGCCTGCCGCTGTGACCGTGTGCAGCTGAGCAGAGGCGCTGGACGGACCCAGTATCGACCGGCCACACTTAGTCTAATGGGCCAGCGTGCCCCGGACCGCGGCCAGGGCTCCTAATTATAGCGGGCGTCGGCGGCAGAGGAGCCGGCCAGACACGCCCGCAGCCCGCTGGCAGGTCATGGAATGCTGGTTCAGGCGACAGTCACGCACTCCACGCGACCCGGGCGAGGTCGGCACCGGCGCGCAGTCGCCCGCCGCCGACGGCAGGCACCGCGCGCCGGCAGCCACGCGTGTCACCGAGCCCGGCAGTCGGGGTGCGGGCACCGGACTGGGACAGAGGTGCGGGCACCGGACTGAGACAGGGGTGCGGGCACCGGACTGAGACAGGGGTGCGAGCACCGGACTGAGACAGAGGTGCGAGCACCGGATTGAGACAGGGGTGCGGGCACCGGACTGGGACAGGGGTGCGGGCACCGGACTGAGACAGAGGTGCGGGCACCGGACTGGGACAGAGGTGCGGGCACCGGACTGAGACAGAGGTGCGGGCACCGGACTGCGACAGGGACACGCACAAGACTGCGACAGGGACACGCACAGGACTGCGACAAAGACAAGCACAGGACTGCGACAGGGGCACGCACCGGACTGAGATAGAGACACGCACCGGACTGAGACAGGGACACGAACCGGACTGAGACAAAGGCACGCACCGGACTGAGACAGGGACACGAACCGGACGGCGACAGGGGCACACACAGGACTGAGACAGGGGCACGCACAGGACTGTGCCAGGGGCACGCGCAGGACTGAGACAGGGGCGCACACAGGACTGAGACAGGGGTGCGCACCGGACTGAGACAGGGGTGCGTACCGGACTGAGACAGGGGTACGCACCGGACTGTGACAGGGGTTGCGCACCGGACTGTGACAGGGGTGCGCACCGGACTGTGACAGGGGTGCGCACCGGACTGTGACAGGGGTGCGCACCGGACTGAGACAGTGGTACGCACCGGACTGAGACAGGGGTGCGCACCGGACTGAGACAGGGGTGCGCACCGGACTGTGACAGGGGTGCGCACCGGACTGTAGTCTGGCGCGTGGGCCAGATTGATCGGAACACAGTTGGCTGGATTACCCCGTGTACCGACGCGCCCCGTACAGACGGGACGAGTTTTGTCTGTTTTGTCTGCCGCGACCTAGTGCAGCGTTGCAGCTTCCCGTCCACCTTTGGGTTACGCCTCCCAGATGGCCTCACTGATCATAACAATAACCAGGCTCTAATTTGGGGGGCCACTGAGCGACAATGTGTGAATTACATTGACAGCATCAACATTCAGCTCCATGCGCGACTCACGACTATCCAACTTATCTATCCAACCAGATCAATATCCAGGGTTGCCTGTGTGCGCCCCAGAGTGCCCGTCTTGTACAACGGCGGTTGGCTGCCGCCAGAGTTTGGCCGGACCGGGAGTGGGCCGTGCTTAGCGAACAGTCGGTCGGCGTCCCCGCACCGACCACTGGCACGCCCCGGTCGTCAGTGCCGGGGGCCGGCCACCGCATAGCCGGCGGGCACGCACGGCCACCACCTCAGGTATGCGGCAGAATGACCTCCGCTTACCGCGCGGCTCAGTGCTCAGGGACGCCCCAAAGATCGGAGCGCGAAGGGAGCGGATCGATCCCGTGTGGGTCTTGCATTCCAATCCGACTCACTGGGATGGCTTTGGATCGGAGGGATAATGAAAAAAGGTGGGGTCAATGTGCGGCTTTGAATCGGATTTGACTTTAGATTGACACCGCCTTGTGGCCTTTGATGGCCCGACAGGAAATCATCGAACGCTCTGTTAAAACACGTCAACTTTTGGCAATCCTGTTTGCATTTCAACTCTTCTCAACACCACTATCTCAAAACCATTGCACAATTCATTGAAAAATGAATCACTCTGAGGTGAACGAACAAGTGAAATCAGTGACTAAACAGTGGAAACGCGCGGCACTGGAGCACCTGTAAAAGCCCGTCACAAACGGATCAATCAACCAATGGCAAAGAATTCAATCTGTCTTAAAAAGCATGCCAACAATTTGTGAGTTGTCAGATGCAAACAACATTATGGGTTACGAATGGCCACCTAAACTTAACGTACTCATCTGATTCTGAAAGGTAAATACTTAAACTGGATAAAATGCAGGTTGATGCTCATCTGTAACAAACTCCTGTCGAATAGGGGATTTTGGGGTAACCTGGAACTTAATGAAATCATGGAGGTGGGTAACCAAGGAAGGACCGTGATAATAGACCAGAAAATCTAGAGCGCATGGGGGATGGGTTGTAAGACGCGGGAACACGTTTTATTGGACGATGTACTTTTAGCGCTACCTTACAGATATGAGCACTTGGTTTAGAAAATCAAACGTATCATTAGAAAATCAAAACTGCGCGTACGCCTAGCTTAGAAGGACGGCAATAAACTAAAAAAGTATCTGGTGAAATGGTCCATCTCGAAGCCGAAGTGTCCGGGTGACAATAGATATCATTTATTTACGTCTGAGTTCCAAGGGGTTTGCACGCAAAAAAGTGGGTGACGAAATTAAGTGTAAAGTGTGTGAAAAACATGCGGAAGACATAGTCAATGTCGGGGAGTCCACGCGCTCTATTTATTAGATGTAATAAACGCCTGCGAGACGCTAAGAACAAAGCAGGGAATACCCCCTCTCGGTAACCGTTTTGTGGACATAACACGCTCAGGCTGAAATCCAGGGAGGTGATGAACCTTTGCCCCTTTCAAAGTTCAAAGTCATCAACGGAGCACGGGACCACCCAGACAGGAAAATAAATGAATCTATTCTTATAAAAAGTCAGCGACCAACCCTTAACATACAAGGTTCATCATGGTCGATCATGCGAACGTGATATGTGCCTTGATGTGTGGTGCGTGCTTGCTTAAAATCGCTTACATGTATAAGTGATGCACGATGCGTGATGCGCGATGCTTGCTTATTTGAAATCGTTTGTATGTAGGATTGCTATATGTGTGATGCCTGTTTATTTGAACTCGTTTGTATGTTTGAATGAGCCGTGATACGTGATGCCTGTTAACTTGAATTTGTTTGCGTGTACACGCATTTTTCGTGTACTATAATTCTTAGATATGCGCTGTATCGTAGAAACGGCAGGCAATTGCCCCTTGTTTAATCCCCTGAATGTTGGTGACCTGTATAACCTGTGGCTCGCTGCTAAAAAAAACCCTGAAAAATCGAGTAGGATCATTGGCAAGCAATTTTGAATTTATTTCTGCTGTTCATTTCGATAAAGGCATGTTGCCGAAATATCAACGCATCTATATTTATATTCTACTAGTTTTTATACGAGGAATGAGGCCGTTACTGCTGTCTTATCCATGTGCATAACGCTCCTCGTAAATGCGCTTAACAACTTATGAAATCGGATTGGATCAACTTTGAAGGAAGTTTATGCGTTAGGATGGTACCTGGATCTGCCCTGACCGGATGAGGCTCGGATCAGATCGGACAAAAAAAAACGCATCAGCTTTGCACCACGTCATCCCCGAGACGTAGACGACCACTGCTGCCCCCACCGCCTGTTCGCGTGGCTTGTGCGTATGACGAATGTATTCGCTTAGAACAGGCGCCTCCGGCACGCGGCCTGCTCACGGGCTGTAACACTAGGTGTGGCCTATAATGCGGCTCTCGTTGGCACGGCGATGTAATGTAGCCCCCGGGTGCAGATGCGTCGCAGGGATACTCATAGCTTACGTTTTAAACCGTCCGCAGGACTCGCGGACGAATCGACACAAAACAATCTACGTAATTGCATAATCGTAGTTATGAACGTAATAGACAGGGGCCGTCCCATCCGACACTACCCATGGTGGGGTGGATCCACACCCTCGCTTTCGTCGAATTCCCCGCTGTCCGCCTCGACCACACCGCGTCGGCCCGCACGCACCTGGTGAGCCGTCAGACCCACAAAACGTACCCGGCCTCAGTCTCGGCGGCCGCCTCGTTCACACCGCGTCGGCCCGCCCGCACCTGGTGAGCCGTCAGACCCACAAAACGTACCCGGCCTCGGTCTCGGCGGCCGCCTCGTCCACACCGCGTCGGCCCGCCCGCACCTGGTGAGCCGTCAGACCCACAAAACGTACCCGGTCTCGGTCTCGGCGGGCTGCGTCTGCGGCGTCACCTCCAGTGGCTCCAGCAGGTTGTTCCGGTTGCCGCTGGGCATGCGGCCTGGCTTGAGGTAGCGGCTGGGCGGCCGCGCCTCCACCACCTCCTCCATCTCGATGTTGTCGCCGGACCTGCCAGCGTCCTCTGTCAGCTTGGTCGTGGCAGGCGGTAGGGGATGGTGGTGCATGCGACGACATGGACGTGACGTCACTGGAACCTGGGACGTGACGTCCCCAGAGCATGAGACTTGGCGTCACCGGGGACCTTGGAGGTGCTGTCACCAGCGACCTGTTGTGTGAAGACGTCGAAGACCTGGGATGTGACGTTATCGGAGGTCCGGGATGCAGCGTTATCGGAGACCTGAGGCATAACGTCACTGGTGACGTGAGATGTGATGTCGTCGGGACCTGCCCGGCGATGACGACACGATACGGACTACACCGTGAGAAGGACCGATGTAACGGCTTCTCGAAATTAGACATGATTCCGTTGTCCTGTATTGCCTCGTTCCTGCTTCTTTGTTTCGTTATACCTCCCAGTCCGTTTTAAAAAGGCGGGGCGAGGATCAAGTAGCACTATTCACGTTGCTGTCAGTGGACGAAGACATTTGGCCAGATTGTAGCGTTCTGGTGATATGAAGGTAACTCTCACGATGCCAACGTCATGTTTGCTATCCAAAAATTGTGATGTAATCATCTCAAGCATTACGAGTTCATTTTAATATAAGTTCTTTGTCTTGACTTGGCCTTACCAAAACCCTTTTTAATGATTTGGCACAGCATTAATCTTATTGAGCCATACAAAAATATTCAGTGAAAGGCGGTGAAAGCTGTGCTGATGATTTACAATTGGTAAAACATTTGTTCTACAAGTTGTCGCTGCATACGAAACAACATTTCCGACAATTTTTGATGTCAACATGGTTCTTATGTAAACTCAGCATTATGCGGTGGTACGAGCTTTACGACAGGGCCTCGAGACTGTGGCGATAACCAGCCGTCAGCTGAACAAAACGGCGCTAAATTGGATAGATCTCCTTCGTGCTGGATGTGAGTTGAGACTGATAGTTATATCAACCATTCGCACACGTCGCAGTGACTTTTTGGGCTGCGATTTTGTGGCCTTCTAGTTAAAAATGATTTGAACGGAAAGCGTTTTTACTCGACCCGATACAACCATGGAATATGGGTTTGCGTTGGCTGCTCCGGGGTTCATGTACATAAACCATACTCACCTAAGGGGGTCAGCGGTAAATCAAATAAGAACATCTCGTCGAGGTGGCTTGGCAGCTTGTTGCTTGCTTGTTGTTGGAGGCAGTTATACGGTTCTCCCAACGACGCTGCTAGATCATCGCACATGATGATACTGCTGCAATACCACCTCTACTTGATACCATGGCCAACGCTCAGATGCTACACAACAGTACTTCTACAGTCAACACCTATATACCGACATCAGTGCTACACGAAATACTGGCTACAGAAATACTTCTAACGACCCAACTGCTACATGCCCATCGGAGTATCTAAAATTTTAATCAGATCGTTTTAAGAGCACATTTTAGGGGAGTTGCACTATAACTACCACGTGATGAACTCAGCATGACTGGCAAGGGTGGCCAACATTCGCACATGACAGAGTTTCGTTAACTACTCAGTCATTGGGCTATCGGGCGTTTCGACCGTACGGTCATGCAATGCCCCAGTGACGTAAGAGTTTCACGATTTGCATCTCATCTCATCCCATCCCTGTTTTACATCTCTGGGACTTCGGTCTGAGACTTGCATAGGAGACCTCTGTATCCCATCAGCGCTGAGTATAAAACTAGCAATAACAACAGTTAAAAAATCTATTTAAATGATAACTATACTGTGTTAGACTCTTGAAGATGCCCATGTGTGTTGGTTTGCACCATGCATTTTGACCACTTCTGTTTCAAACATAAAATTATACGCATATGGCCGTGTCATGTGTGACAGCTGTTCAAAAAGCTCCCTTGAGTCATCTAATTTTCCCAGCTCTCGAACTGAAGCAGGTGCCAGTGGGCTGCCGGCCGCATGTTTGGTGTCCTCTGCGAATTATGCATGTGCAAACAGCAGCAAATGTCCACGGAGCTTAGACAACGACTGGAAATTGGCTGACCTTTCGGAGCGTCACATTACAAACAGCTCTGTCAGAAGACAAAAGTTCTCCCCTTCTAGTCTTGCAATATTCTATTCAGTGGGCTGCCGAGACAAACAGTCTTCATGCGGCATCGATTTATGACAGCCTCACATACGCATGACATCTGTTTGCAGCTTTTGGTCGGTCACGAGTGTAGACATTTCCACATTATCGTAACGCCAAACTGGGCTTATCTATGATTTGCCCAGGTGTGCCGTCAGAGATTGGCACGTAGGGCCAAGTTCCTGGCAAACGTTCGAAAAGGCGCGGTTGAATACGAATAAGACTGCAGCGGCGCGCTCTTCTGCCATTTACATCTCGGTCTGTACTCTGTACCTGTCTGTACTCCTCTCAGCGCATACCGGCGTGTGAAGACTGTACGAGAACAGCAATGTCAGATCGCTCTCAGAACAGAGTACAGATGCCAGGCGAAGCCAAGAAATGCTTTCGAGGTGAGATGCGCCTAGGCATAAAGAAAAGCAATTCAAGGCACTGGCAATATGAAGAAATGAAGTGGTAGGCAAAAGTTCTACATCAAATGCCGCCAAGTGGGTCATGGCATCCCACTGTTTACAACCCACTGCTTCAGTATTGGCGCCACCCTGGTCATATCTGCGCACGCTGCAGTTATGGGGATGAGCACATGAATTTCATAGGGCTTGTCGCATTTCCCCTCGTATCGAGCCATTCGGACACCTCTGCAGCACAACGTGTCAAAGGAGGCGGGAGTTTTCCCGGTTCCGCCCGATCACACCGAGGAAGCTCTGCCTGCTCACAACATATAGCACAGCGCCGGCAATGCATAGCAAGGTGCCGATCGGGCCGGCCTGGGACGGCTGGCCAGGCCCGGCTCCGAGCGAGCACCCAGCCGCCGCGCCGCCCCGCGCCTCATGCGAGCCAGCGACACGGACAGCGCCGTCGCTCACCGCCCTCAGCAGACGGTCTCGCCCTCGCCGCCCGCCTCCTCTTCGTCACCGGAACCGTGACCATCGACCGACAGAAGGCCGACGGAGCTGGGGACACGGCCACGAGGTGACCCATCGCCGCGCCGCCGCCGCTACGGCGGCGCGCTTCAGGGCGCGGGCGAATGACATGTTATCGCCGGCTGTAAAAGGTGACGTGCGTCCGGGATTGCAGTGTCACCCGTATCGATCACACTTAAGGAAGTTATGTGGCAGCTGCTGGGGAAGCACACGTCGGAATAGGGAATGAACAACGGTTTCTGATAGGTCCACTTTCAGTGCTCTGTGAACGTTTCCATCAACGTAAGTGAGCAGCCATGAGCAACGTGACACACGCTGGCCCGGTTTCATCAAAACAGAAAGCGGTCGATGTGACCAGCTTGCAAAAATAAACCATTCTTCACCTGAAAAGCAGTACTAGTCGATGGTAAGCGATACACCGTCATGCTAAGCAATGTCCAAACGAATGCATGTTGTTACTCTGCATCTGGCGGCCAGCCCCACAACGGCTGGCTAGAGGCCAGCAAGTTGGCCGCGACGTCTCATCGGTCGCCATCCGAGCCAATACATGCCCAGTCTCGTCATCAGCAGTCTGTCTCAGCTGGTAGCGAGTCTCGTCATCAGCAGCCTGTCTCAGCAGGTACCGAGACTCGTCATCAGCAGTTCGAGTCAGCAGACGCTGGGTTTCGTCATCAGCAGCCTGTGTTAGCGGCTATCCAGTCTTGTCATCAGCAGCCTGTGTCAGCAGCTGTCGAGTCTCTTCAGAAGCAGGTTGGGTTAGCAGATACTGAATCCCACTCACCCGCTCTCCTTGCGCCGCTCCCTAGACAGTCGCATCACTGTGGCATTGATCTTGCTGGAGATGGACTTGATGGAGTACGTGCTAGTGGCGTTGCTACGCGTGGCCACTTGCTCCTGCTCGCGCTCCAGTAGACACTGCGCCTTCTCCTCCAGCTCCTGCAGCGCCGCGGCCGCCTCCTTCCGTTTCATGCGGTGGTAGGCGTGCACGAGGAACGCCACCGACACGCCGAAAGCGATCAGCGGCCCGATGATGGAGAGCAGCAGGCTGTGCTCGATCTCGGCCGGGTCCAGGGCCGTAATCACCAGCGTGGCGTCCACCCGGCTGTAGTAGCACGGGAACGTGGTGTTCACAGCGCGGTAGGTCTGCGCGAACACCGTGCAGTTGAGCGACGGTGGGTAGCCGCAGCCCTTGACGTTTGGGTAGAGGAAAGCCTCGTTGTGCAGCCACTGGTGGTCGACCGGGCGCCGGCTGCAGGAGAAGTTCTTGGCGTCGGTGTAGGCCACCAGGATCTTGACGCACTCGAACACCTCTCGCGTGCAGCCCTCGCGGCACGAGCTCCACTTGGAGCAGTTGTGTGCGCCGGAGTCCTCCTGGTACGAGACCACGCAGCACGTGACCGGGTCCAGCGCAAAGTCCATCTGGATGGTAGTCACGGCTGGCTCGATCACAAACGGCACTAGGAAGAGGAAGCCGAAGAAGGCGCCGATCGCCAGCAAGCTGAAGAACACGGTGGAGTAGAAGTTGATTTTCTCGACGTTTTCCTCGTACTTCTGACGCAGCCGCTGCCGCAGGTTCAGTAGCGGTGGAGGCAGCTCCTCCTCCTCCTGCTCGTCCTCGTCCTCGTCCGACAGCCGGCTGTGCTCGGCCGAGATCGTCATGACGTCACGGCATGGCCGCTCGTGGGAGGTCGCGACACACCTCACCTGCGACGCACCGTCGGTGTAAGTGTGCGCAGTCCACGAGGCTTTGCAGATGTTTGAAATATGTGATCTTATCTGTTGAAACGTTTGAATAGGATCACTACTGTACATCTGGTTGAGAGAATGCAGCGGGCATCCGCATTCGCTTGCCGTCTTCCCACCAAAATTCGAGAACCAGCAGAGTGTCCTACAAATGGATTTAATGGTGTCAAAATGTGGGCAGCACTGTGATGTATCATCTACCCACTGTCTATGCAATTTTGAGCGTACGCTTTACCGCGCCTTGCACGTTGCGTGTGTTACATGAGAAGACAACTGCACATTTCGTCAGCTCCTTGTGTGTTTATTCTATCCTTGTTGAGTTTTCAATGTCAGATAATTTGTGGACGCTAATCTAAAGATAACAAATTAAATCATCACCAACAGCCATTCATATGAGTCTAAGTTAGGAAATGCTTCAAGAGGACCCATCCCCAATTTCACAGGTTTGTAGCACACAGGACACGCATATGACTAACAGATGAGAAGCGCGCTCCTCCAGGCACCGTTAAACGCGCAACAGCAGTGAACAGATGACGTCACGTCAAAACGTCATCGCAGAACATAACGTCGGACCACAACAACAGCTTTTCAGAGTCTTTTTCCCTACGTCCCTTCCGTGACGAATTTCAGACAGTGGTTACTATGTTGACATGGGATGGCTGAAAAGTCCATAGTGATGCATAAACTAAACTGTTTGTTGACGTCAAACACTGTTTCTCTGATGATGGTCACTTCCCAGAGCTGTAGATGGTGTTTGTCTTTACTCGTTTTCAGGATCTGTGTCTTTTCGATTGAGGGCGTAGGGGTTGTTTTACTGGAACGTGATTTGAGGTTGTGAGTTTTACGCGTATGCCGGTCTGGTGCCTTCTCCACGAGACGCATAGGCATTAGTCATGGTATAAATATTGTAATGTTCCGATGTGGGTCAAACTGCTGAGCCGGTGATTTTCCGTATGGACTCTATGGAAATTTAGACAAATTCATGTTTTACTGCTCTAGAGCTTTTGAGTAACGTCTAGGATAATTTGGGCATTCCGTTAAGGGAGGAAGACAGACGATAGTGAAATGTGTGGGTGCGTCCCTCATAATATGCATAAATCTTCATCCAATATTTTTTACGCAAGTGTTTTAAAATATCAACTTCAGCGTTTTACTCGCTCCGTCTAATGTGACACACTTGACTGGGCTCATTTCAGACACAAAACATTAAGTCTCCATTTGAGGTTGTCAAAGGACAAAAAGGGCTTCATTCGCCGTAAATGATGACGATAAAGCAAAATATTTTTGAGACGCCTCCTGCACCTTATGCACGGAGAACTAACCGCAACAAACTTGGGATTGCAGATGCAAAATAAGCACGGGCCCTCATTGACTTCAAGGCCAGTTCACTAGGTGGCTGCACCTTAAACAATATATATATATATATATATATATATATATATATATATATATATATATATATATGTCAACCCGCAAGACAAAGCCCTCGTGCTGGGAACCACCGGCTGCACTCAGTTGCCCGATCATGGCCGTAAGCAACCGGCAAATTCAACCAAATTTAGAATACATTTAAGCTAGCATTGTGCAACGATGTGTACACATGGGTCACACCATCACAGCTCTGTTCAGTTGGCATTTTACTATCAGGACAGAGCTGAATAACTATTATATATAAACAGACATTATACATTCTGAATGCACTCGCCGTATGGATGGGAAAGAGAACGGTGAGGGTCAAATTTTCCCAAGAGCAGACAGTGCAAAAGTACGAAGTGAGATATGGGCAGTGCACAAGCGTCGTGAATATATGCCCCTATCTATTTGTCATGCTATTGCTGCGGGATTTATTTGGAAAATAATACACATCACGGTAATGACTTATGCCAACGTACGAAAAACAAGTAAAGCATTGGTTAGAAATGTCACTAAGCTCATTTAACAATGCTTTTTTGCCACGGAAAACAGCTTTCCCCACAGCAGCTACCAGGAAGCGTGTTAATGACAGTTGTTCCTTCTCACCTTTTCGGGTGAAGAAAAACAGCTGCGTCAAACAGATTTGCTCCACTTGGCTTTCAGAAAACGCCCCCCACAAGATGATGCCAAGCACCCGCACATCCACCAGCGGCGTGCAGTATGAGTCTCCACACCATAACCACACACAGCAAAGAGATTGTAGGGCTGCCTACCCTCCACCAAGGCTGACCTCCTACGTCCAATGCAGAGCGAACCTGTGTTGGGGCGGCGACATACCTGGGCAGGGGGCTGCCGTCCATGTCCAGTGGCAGCGGCCGGGCGCGGCTCGTCGACGCGGCGGAATCGATCACCCCTCCCACACCCCCCGCCCTCCACCCGGCCACCAATCCAGGCGGCGGCGGCGCGCGGCCGACGGAACGCGTCGCACCACCGGCACGAGAGCGTCCGCAACCAGGGCGCCGCACGCGGGGCCGTGCAGGCATGTCCGTGGCCTCCGCACGCTTCCCACAGCATGTAAAGGGCCTGCCCATGCCGACCGCAGCTATCCGGGGGATCCCTACGCCACCCACGGTATGTCCGGGATCTCCGCGAACCGCCCACAGAGTACTCATGGCCTCCACACGCCGTCCACAGCATACCCATGGCCTCCACATCGCCGTCCACAGCATACCCATGTCCTCCACACGCCGTCCACAGCATACCCATGGCCTCCACACGCCGTCCACAGCATACCCATGGCCTCCACACGCCGTCCACAGCATACCCATGGCCTCCACACGCCGTCCACAGCATACCCATGGCCTCCACACGTCGCTCACAGCATACCCATGGCCTCCGCATGCCACCTATAGCATCAAAAGGGGAGCACTCGCCGTCGCCAAGTGCTCCCTATGCCGTGGGTCTTTCTACTATGCAGCGTCGAGCGAGCTTCATAGAGGTATTGGGCGCGCCAAAACATCATGCTTGGATTAAGCATGTGCAAAGCCGCGGCATGCTTATCAGATTATATCATGTGCCTTATAGCCAGCAGCGCCCCTTTGGGCTGTATAATTCTGCAAAGTTTGACCACGACATGGCGGCTAAGTAAGTAATACGCACTTCCATAACTTTCATCGTGGCAGCGTTAGACCACGGGATCACGTCCAGCGACGAAGCCCGATGTGCCATCAATTTGACTGTTCTGTGTGTGTTGAGGTGGAAAGACCAGTTTTAGAATGTGAGGTATCTTCTTGTTTTTACAAAAAAACATAGGATTAGAGCACGATGTTGGTATCCACTTTCACATGTTTCATACCGTTACACAGATTCCACCCAATCATTGCACTCTCAGTGATAGCTACAGCTTAAGGGCTGTAGCAGATGCATTTCTGCCACTCCACAGGCTCATGAAATGACAACAAAAATAGCTTTCTCCTTCATTGTGTGTAGCCTAAACGTTGAAATCATACATCTATTTGCCCATTATTCAGAGTCAGCCTACTGCAATACGAAACTCCGCCGGTGCCATGACAATAGCTTGTATCGTTTACGCGCTTGATAATGCAATGATACTGTATAATGGTGTTACAATCGGAACCACCTCTGTAAATGATGCGCAACATTTGATCCGAAAATATCAGGACCAGTAGTCAGTTGACAAACTTTAAAACTTCATGTATATCAGGATCAGGATCAGAATTATGTGCATGTGCTGATACGTCATGTATCACCGAAATATGATAAGTTAGAGAGTGGTGCAAACAGAAGAAGCAAATAATTAAAAGATCGTGATTTAAATGAGCATACAGCTTAAATCCAACGAAAGAAGCGAACACAAACGGTGTACCATTTTGGTCAGTCAATTTTTGACATTTGCATTTGTGCACATATATGGTTTTGAGTCATCCACGTCCCACACACGAACGATTGGAATGGTTTTGGTCGCCTAGATCAATGAATATTAATGGACGAAGCAGTGTCGAAAACATTGTTTCGGAACAGAGTCCAATTTCTAATTGGCTTTAGCTTGGCATTGCCGTGCCAAGCTATATCAACATTTCCCCACATTTTCTATAACCACGCGGTAGCGTTAAGCGCACGCAGATCTGGATCAGCCTGGAGAGACAGAGCAACGCACTGGTAATGCACTAAAGGATTGTAGGCAGAAGTATTTCGGCGCTTTGAATGTCTTTGAGAAGAGAGGCCGGATCGGACGTTGCAGATGATCATCTGCGCAGATCGTTTTCACCTGCCAATATCCTGCCGAAGACAAAATGGTTACCTGTGGAGGCTGCGTATTGCACTTCACGTGGCTTGTTTACCTCTGCCCAGCTGAGGATGAAGTACCCAACTCGACACAAACGCATCACGACGAGCACCATTGACAGAAGCGTCACTTGATATACTTTCGGGGGACTGACTTCCCCCACTGCTGATTTGTGCCCCCTCCAAGTACTTATATGGGCCCATCAATGGATTCAACGAAAATGGAATACTGCGTTTAAGAAATTCAGAAAGTAATTGTAACGGTTGGTACACTAGGTAGGCACCTTTACGCACCACTATTAGTGTTCTGTTCATTTTGTGACAAATAGCACACCATAGAGATAGCGTTTTTTCATACGGACTGCTTCGCACATTAGGGTGGTCTGCAAATGTGCGAAAGATTTTTCAAACACTTCAGATGGCTCAAGTGAATTAAGATAAAAAAACAGCTGACTGCAGTATGCGGCAGCTTTGAACCCGCGCCCGATTCGCCGTTTTTCACAACGCGGACTGATGGTGAAGTAGGACGGTTGATGGGACCCCTTGGCGTTCCCAAACTAACAACGATAGGCCTTCGCGGAAAGCAACTCTGGATTGGCACTAATGAGATCTCGCTATCTGTATCGCATTAGGCCAATAATTGACCTCATTATGTCAGGCCAAACACCGCATTGTCCAGAACTTCTTACTTTTCAAGGCTTGTGCCTCGTGGCGGCACAAACCTAATCCATGCGTATTCATTGTTCAATGCTGAGTACAATGATGTCTCTTTTTATATATATGTTTTGAGCATACATTCATTATATACAGCTTCGTTAATGTAGCAATGTCGGCCCGCTGCGCGCGTTCCGCGACCTCGTCGGTTGCCATCCGCCTGTTTAGGCCGTAGATCGCCGTGCAGTGTTCCTTAAAATCCTCCGCTGCTCCAAAATCAGAAAGGCTGGAAGCGTAATTCTTTGTCAAAACACGTGCAATAAATGCTCTATAGGCGCTAATTATATGTTCATTTAAAAATACATACATACATATATATATATATATATATATATATATATATATATATATATATATATATGTATTATTATAATTTTGGCGCAGTTGCACAACCTTCTGGGGAGGTATCCACAAAAACTTTAACAGGGTTGCATCAACCCCTACACCTATCAGGGCGACATTTTAAAGTACAGGGTAACCCAAATAAAAACAAGCCCACGTTTTCCTCAACAGTGGCGAAGGTATTTGTCGTACAATCGTGACTGTCATATGTTACAACTCTCACACGAATGTGTGATTTTCATATTTCATATGATATCACCGCACAGTCATATATCATATGCCTTCGTGACACTCGAGTGTTAAATGAATGGCAAAGACAGTCAGCGACGGCGGTAGTCATCAGTGATTCCCCCAGCGACGGCGGTAGTCATCAGTGATTCCCCTCCCGTCAGTTCATGACAACGAAAGGTGCTTCAAATGGGACTCCTGGCGGTCAAGGGCACAAAAACGTTAGGCCTGCTGCAGGTAGTCCATAGTTCGGTCGAACCTCGTGGTCGATCGTCCGATAGAACCACGTCCACGGTGATGCACCCCATCTTAGCCCAAAGGTGGCCTTGATCTTTTGAAGGCTCGCTGGCATGTGACGTGGGCGTGGTTCCTGAAAGGTTACCACACAGCATTAAGCCCAAGGGCGACGGGTCGGACGGGTGAGAGGCCCCAGCGTGGCAGTCTTAAGCTGATGTGCATTGCAGCGAAATAATTCTCGAACCGATCCAGAGAGGCCCGTGCCATATGCGGCGGTGTCCCGGCCTGCTGGAGGCATTCCCCGTCCCGATCGATCCCCTGAAGTCGTCCCAGGGCCGCCCGGAAGGCTACCTAAGAGGTAGCCATATAGAGCTCTGAGATGGTGTGGACAATATACGCGTTCTTGTCCTCAAAGAGGGATCTTCTAGAGAGTGATTACTTCACAAATGTGTGATCACTGATGACTACCACATTTGCCATTGACTGGCCATTTTGTCATCACATACCCATGTTGTCATTTTATGACCATTTTGCCATTGGACGGTTATTTTGCGATTGGATGATCATTCGAGTGCCACCACACTCTTGCGCGAGGAATACGTTTGTCAGTGCTGAGTAAAACGTGGGTTAATTTTTAGACGGGGCACCCCGTGAACAAAGTAGTTTTGCATAAACATGGTCTGTTTATTTGGCCTTCCTACGACTTCTTTGCGAATCAGATGAATTGTTAAACCAAGAACTTGCGGCTTAATCAGGAGATCACGAACTCCATGTTCCATGTATTCGTTCTCATGAAAAGAATAGTTATTTTAGGACGTCTGCGTTCCCATGATTGGGGATCAAGAGGTATACACACTGTCCCTCCATCTGTGATGCAAAGATTGCTTCCTCGCATCAATGGGATTTTCGAAAGATTTAATCCGATCCTTTTGAGTGGATGGATTTCTGGGATCAGAGCTCACGCTGAGCAGTGCCTGTTGCGTAAGCTCTGACTCCTACCATCTGATCGCGCAATTTCATGCCAAGGACAGAATTTGGTGTCGAAAGCTTGACGTGCCGCTATGTTCACCACGGCCCGTCCTGCCCAGTGACGTCATCTGACTTTTATCGCGGCCGCTGGCACCGGCCGCAGGCCAAACCCGTCAGGGCCAAACAACGAGCACCTGAAGCGACTCGATCCCACCCGCCACGGGTGGTTGAATTGGGAGGCGGGCGCTCTAACCAACTGAGCCATCGGGACGGACTGAAGCCATCAGGCCGGACGAGATGTGCGGAATTGTAATGCGATATGATTCAGGTGACCATGATTTCTTGCAGATTTACTCCAAACGTTTTGCTGGGATGTTTTCTGGGATGAGCACAAACGCAAAGCAGTTGAAGATGTGGTGATAGTCGGCACGGTCCGTGCTGTCCTTTGACGGTGCCTTGACTGCAGCCCGTCCGCTGCCACCGGTCGCAGGTGTGGCGATGGTCGGCACGGTCCATGCTGCCCTTTGACGGTACCTTGACTATAGCCCGTCCGCTGCCACCGGTCGCAGGGGTGGCGATGGTCGGCACGGTCCATGCTGCCCTTTGACGGTGCCTTGACTGCAGCCCGTCCGCTGCCACCGGTCGCAGGTGTGGCGATGGTCGGCACGGTCCATGCTGCCCTTTGACGGTACCTTAACTATAGCCCGTCCGCTGCCACCGGTCGCAGGCTACCCCGGCCGGGGACAAACAGCGATCGCCGGAAGCGATTCTACTCCACATCGCCACGGGCGGATACATCGGAAATGAAGCGTTCTCACCAACTGAGTCTTGGGATAAACTGATGTTGATGGACAGGGCGGAACAATAAGTACAGCGTAGCGGCGTATCTTCCTCCTGGTTGTAAAACAAAAAGGGTATGAAGGAATCTATTCGACATCTTCGGTGCGGTATCTTCCAGAATGAAAGAAATAATGGGGGTGGTGTTGACCGAGTTTTGCGAAGAAACCTGACCAAGCGCAAGCCGGAGGCGTCGAGTTTTCTCAGCATTACCAATGTTGTTTTTTTCATAACGTCGTTTAATCACTACCTCCTGGCATACTAAAGGTCGACTATTTTCGACAAGATAGCTCTCAATTTGTCAACGCGAAATACCCAGATTCAAGACCTTTCTTCTTTACATCGACTTCAACACGCGTTAAAGCGTTGGTCACGCCGCGTTTTAAGACCGCCACTTTGCAGGTCATTCGGTCACCAGGATTTACCTGCTCTGTTCTTCCAGTCACCGACATGGCTTTAAGAAAAAATCGTGCCAATCCAGTTGCACTTTCAGACAAAAGGCACGTGGTGACAGCGTGCCCGAAAATTTTCCGAAGGTTCTCGTCCGTACGTGTCAGATCACGCCATCCTACATAAAACCGTCTTTTTTACATCGGACCGCCTTCGATGAACGATAACTGCAACTAGCTCCGTTCATCACAGAAGCTCGGATTACTTTTTTAGTTGACTTTCTTCCATTTCCAGCTTTTCACAGAATGCAGCTTCGCGTCGCCCTGAAATGGCAGTTCATTACCCCCGGTAATAGTTTAAGAATCGACTAAATTTTTAACACCGTGGACGCAAATAAAAGTGGCCAACATCCGGGGTGAAATCAGGGATGGTGGGCAGATTGGGTCAACCTTATCGGGTCAGCCCCACCCCAACCAAACCATTTTAGAAAGTGAGACTCCTGGTTATTGGAGACTTCAGCGAGATTTATTCCTACAACAATCACGCCAGAAGAGGGATGCTTCTGGACAAACACTTGTCGCCATGGAAACCGAGTAGGTCATCCGCTGTCATGCCGATCGATGCGCGCAGTGGTCGCACGGGCAGCGCCTCTAGCGGCGGGCGGCCGAAGGGGGCGATGGCCACCAGTTGCGTCTCGAGGGTCGCCTCGGGCCCGACGCGTTCCGAGACCTCGGCACGCCTCTTCCGGGGAGCGGGGGCGGGTGGCGAAGCAGGGCCAAGCTCCCAGGTTGGGCGTTGCCGGGCCATTCGTGGCGGAACAGGCGCGTGAGGTCAGCACAGAAACGGGTCGCGGTCAGCGCCGGGTGTCCAGGCGGGACAGGATCATCTTAGCCGGGTCACGGCTCGTGGCGAGGGAGCTGAAACCGAGCGCGACAGCATATCAGCCGGCACAGGAGCAGCGCAAGCCACTAGCTCCATCGCAGCTCCATGGCGAGACGGAAGAGTCGGGCCAAGGCGTCATTAGCCACCTGCGCTGTCCACCAGACACCCCTGGAACGGCGCCTCTGCAACGCCATCTGCCTGTGTCAGCTGGTCTCCATCCTCTCTGGCGTGGCACTCATCTACCTGTGCTTCATCGTCATCAAACCGAGCCAGGAGACGCTGGCGGCCGAGTTCGAGAGCACGCCAGCCGTGTGCACCACCCTGGAGAGCGGTATGAACGAGCCCTGCCCGCGCCCCTCCTGCGCAGAGTGGTGTCTCTCCAATGGTGGCTCCAGCTGCAGCGTGGTCAACGCGTCCGTGCGCCGGCCCGGCGCCACTGTCGCGCTGCGCGGCTGCCAACTGAGCGCCGCCTTCTGCTCCGAGCAGCCGGAGGAGGCACAGCAGGCGTTCATCTGCTCGGAGGGCGAGCAGCACGGCCAGTGCAGCCACCTGGAGCGCTTCTTCAACTGCTCGCCCATCGTCGTCACACGCCGTGTCGGCTTCGGCGTGCGCGCGAAGAACACCTCGGTCTGCCGCAACATCACGGCACGGTACGAGTGCCGCGGCGAAGGGCCGAGCGTCGCGCTGCCGCTGAAGCACCTGCCGCGCTGCGACATCTACTTCTGCAACAGTCTCGACGGCGTGTACGAGTGCCGCCATGGCGTGTGCCGACAGCTGGCGCGGCCGCGCTGCCGCGAGCGCTGCTCCGACCTGCGGCTGGACACCGTAGCCGTGGCCACGGCCGACCTTTTCCACTGGGGCCGCTGCGAGGAGGCGGCCGTCGACGGCGAGCGCGTGTGGTCGGCGGCTCGCAGCCCGCTGGCGCTCTTCTGCACGCGCCTGCGCAGCGTCGCGGACGGCGAGCTGCTTGGCGAGGACTGCCTGAACGGCACGCTCGTGCAGGCCGCCGAGTTCGCCCGGCTGCGTTCCTACCGGGACGTGCGCGAGACGCTGCGACGACACGCTTCGCCCGTCGACCGGGTGCCCACCGCGAGTGACGTGAACGTCTTCAACCGCTCGCAGGTGATGATCAACATCCAGGGCTGTGTGAACACACTGCGCCAGGAGTGTGACCGCTGGCTGGAGGTGCGGGGCCCCGACGGCCGCGACGGCCGCCACCCCGCCGTATACCCGTGCCACGTGACGCCACATGCCGACGACTACGTCGTCACCGATTACGACAAGCGGCAGACGGTGCACCAGATGGTGCTGGCCGCCACGCTACCCTCCTGCCTGCTCGTCTTCTCCTGCCTCTGCCTCATCCTTTGCGGCAAGATGGTGGCCGTCAACGAGTTCGGCGTGTTCTTCTGCAGGCACTGCCACAGGGAGGACGGCACAGGTAGGCGGGGTTGAGCTCCGCAGATGGAGAGGGGCCAGGGCGCATCTATTCAGATGAGAGCGCGATCGAGAAACTTCTAGCCGGGGCGTCGCCGGGATTTGAGCTCAGGACCAGCCAGTGACCTCAGGATGCAGTCTGTGGTTTTCCGGGGAACGATGATTCGGTTGGTCACATCGCTGGAAACCGCTTGAGGGCCGTCGCTGCGAGTTTCACAAGGGCACTGCAACCATGCGCTGGAGCTTATGTTTGGCGAATATCGGCGCCAGAACGTCGCGTGGCGTTATATCATGAGGCAGAGGACCTTCCAATACCCGCGTCCGGGCCAATCTGCATTTCACGGAGTCTGTATTCACTCTACAATCAAAACGTTTTACGGGAATTATTTCTTGCAGATTCTGCATCGTTTTTAGCGTAATTACACTTAAGGTAAGATATATAAAATGACCTACGTTCATAGTATAGAAACTGGGCGAACACATTTATTCAACAGATTTCGCTTGTAAGCCTCTTCAGGACTGTATCCTAGCAGAACAAATGCCCCCTCCAAACAATCAAAATACTTCGCTGCCCAGCTTTGTAATACCGAGATCCGATGAAGCTGAAGAGTGAAATCTGGTTACTCATTTGCGTTGTTGCGGAGAGATATTTGCTGAATTACTGATAACTGCTTATATACATTTCCACAATACTCAAATTTATACATGAGTGGGTAGGAAGCAAAACGCGAGAAGTTAAAAATATCTATATATCAACTCCCTGTTTCTGCCTCCTTTCTATAACATGGCCATAGCGAATAATTTCATGACGCTGGCCATCTTTTTTACCGCAAATGGGGTAGGGCACAGGCTGTACTTTCGTTAATGGTGGGCAGACACGCTTATGTATAAAATATGCATACGGCTCCATCATCAAAGACAGCAAGCCAAGCAAGCTCATTTGGTTAAAGAGCACTGGAATCCGGACCGTCATCCGGGGCCGTTTGGAAGGTCAGAATGCTGCAATATCCCCACGCCGATGCTGTTTACACGACAGCAGTGTTGAAACTGGCAGCGTCAATATCATCTATATGAGTGGACTGTCACTCCGCTCACGTCCACTTATTGCGACGCGGAACATCGAACTGTTCGGTCCCAGCGCTGTGTCGACACTGTTCCAATTAAACGAATTAATCATGACCTTTTGTCCTTCCGATCCAACATCTATGTTTAACATATGCTTCTTCGGAGCTACATATCGTCGAGCCCCAAGCCATGTTCATTAAAACATATGAGTTGGATATGGTCCGTTCAAACATATTGGTATCACTTGTTTTAATTAAACACTCAACCGTTTTAAGTAAACTAACACTTGCTAGCAGCTTCATGGCTTTGGTGTGGCAGCGAATCATTTGCATCTGAGCTGAGTCTGTCATTTAAACATTGCGCATGCCACATCGCAAAGCAGAGACACGTACAGCTTTTCCCATAGCAGCAATATTAAAAATATAAACATAAGGTATACACCTAAGGCGCGCGGCACCTCACTCGCTTCTGACCTCACCATTCCGGGGTGTTAAAGACCTTGCAAAGGTGCAGAGCTGCTGGCAGAAGCTCACATATGCCGCTGTTATTCTTTCTAGCACTGGGACTTGCCACTCCACTGAAAATATTTGCGTCATGTAACACCAAGGGTGACTACGCCGCGACGAGAGGGTGATCAAACTTTGCTCATTTACCGGACTTGCGTTTGCCCATCTTTGCCGGACGAACGACTCGCAGTCGTAACTATTTTAAAAATAACAACCCGGTGCGCCGGTTATCGTTGCAAATCGGCTTCAGTAAGCCATTGGAAGACTATCGTGTTGCGTCGTTGAATGTGGTTCACATGGCATCCGATGGGCGGAGTCCGGATGTGGTAACATGAGTTCATCCGCGGCTGCCTTTTATCACAGTAACTGTGAGGCTCTGTCGATGGGGCGCGATTGGCTTGGCATGCCAATGCATACTACACCACACGCTCACAATTGTTCATGGGTGAATACAGCCTGACACATGAGGTCAAAAAAGCGAAATCCAATGAATATGCCCGATTGGTTTCCAAGCCACCTTTGCCACAACACCGAGAACAAGGGCGTTGGACGACACACTTCGTGTTTTTTTTACCTGACCTGACCTTGCCCCCAGCTCAGTTTCAAAGAGCCTCATCGTTATCAAGCTTGATGTAGTTGAGTGAGGCCAGTACTGACACAGGTCGCTTTATGCATGTTGTACGGAGAACGGGTTTTGCCGGCCGCCTGTCACATCTACGAGAATGATGTTCGCGCGCCAACAAACGCAAATCTATGTTCCACATCGGGTGTAACGTAGTTGTTTTCCATGTATGGCAAATTCATCAGCAAGCATATCACACACAAGAAGCCTTTCAGGTATTTGAGAACAAAACGGCGACTCCTTGAACGCCCGCCCCCGTCGGGTGTCCACCTGCTCCTGCCTTTGGTTTTGACATCTCCGATATATTTGGGAATGCGCATCTATCTGGTTTTGTTTCCATCGTTTCTGGAGATATCTAGGAATGTGCAGCTAGCGATACTCGTGTCAATTTCATACCGATGATCGGGCGTGACTGAAAAACGGCTCGGGAGTCCTAGGCATGACTTACAGCGCAACGAACTGACTGTTGAGTCCGACGTCATTTGCTTTTGACGCGCGTCCAACGCCCTTAAAAACGGTGTAAACGAACCATGCATGTATATTTACAACTAAGTGGCAAAGGGATTATGGGCGTGGATGGGGGGGGGGGGAGGGGGGCTGTTGAGATATGGAGTGTCGTAAGTCTCTATGCTATGTTTGTATACTTTGCCGTCCGGCTGTTGACATACTTAGCCTTGACATCTTCTCACCTTAGAAGTTAAACGAAAACACGTGTACCATTCTGCCGCTTTTGGATGACTCAAACAATGTTCTGCAAGAATTGCGCAGGTTGTTTCCAAACACATTGCAGGTACGATTTGTCCTATAAGAGTAGGCTTGGTGTTGTTCATTTGCATCCCAGACAGTTCTTCTTCGCGCGTTAGTTCAGATTCGCTTTGATCTCAACAGCATTTAAAGGATCATCCGAGGTGATGCAGGGTCTTATAGACCTTATAACCTGATGACGTTATGGTCAACTTTGACCTTTTATTGATCTACTACCGTTACGGCCACTAATGACATCTGTCACATAACCAATTTACACATTAACAACGACTGGAAAGTCCAGCCATATGAAATGCAGACAGCTTCGTGCGTTTCATAGCGAAAGGTTGATTTCCCATATTTCCACCGCATAGACATTTGATGACGAGGTCAGAGCTCGACGTCACGACACGTCGAGATGTAATCATCCCCATGTCAGATGACGTAATCCTCCAAACCACGGCAATCAAAGGTGCTATCACCGCAGCACGTTCCGAACAGTACTTCCACAGCGTCCGAGCGAGATTGCACGAAATAAGCGGTGTTGCAGGGTGTTGGGTGAGCCGGGTCGGCGTGGTTAGATTACTTGCCCACATCGACTAAGCGGACAGATCCCTTCTTAAGGTTGGATCTCCACGCATTTCACTGGATTCCGATACCACGTGAGCCATGTCTGTACCGGCTCACGCTTTCAATAACCTCCACAGCAATGACGTGCGTTCGAAAAATTTTCGACATGCACTTCGAACTTTTCTAAACGGGTTGACCCCCTGTCAGCGTATTACACAATGCTGGCTGGGAAACCCGAGCGTGGAGCAGTGACTTCAAAATATATGTTGTCGTATGCAACGGGTGCGTCCGTTGTAGTTCAAAAGGTCAGCATAAAAACTCTGAACTCATAGCACCCAAAATAGGAGATTTAGCGTACATAAATTGCATGTACAAGGTTTAACTGAATACGCATCATTTTAAGGTCTAATTGAATAAGCAAAGTGCATGGGTGCCTCTTACATGTTGGGCGTATTGTCCGCATAACAAGGTGTGGGGACAAAATTAGTGCCGCTGCTCACTTCTCTGCAGTATTATATGGCTACCTTTACATGTGTGTTGGGGCCGCCTAAGCGAGAAAAAAAGTACGCCCATTTCGATAACGGCACCGCCATTTGAGAACATTTCATGCACCGCAGGTCGGGGGAATCGAGACAGTCTCTGACAGAGCGTGCAGCATCGGTACCCGACCTCCCGGACCAGCCAGGCCATGGCCAAGACGGAGTCAACCAGCCCGATCATCCAGAACGACGAATGAGACGCTGGCAGAGGCTGCACCTGCGGATCCGAAGACGAGCCGGGGCTTCGGAGACTGTCGCGAGCACAGGGCCGCCGTCGCAGTCCGGCCGGGGGCCCGACCGGTGGCACCCAGGTTCCGATCGATGGAATTGGGCCCTAGTCGGTGAACTTAGCCTCTGATAGTTGGGCCCCAGGCTTCGATCGTTGGGTCCCGGGCTCTGATCGGTGGGAGCCAGGCTCCGATCGTTGGGTCCCGGGCTCTGATCGGCGGGAGCCAGGCTCCGATCGGTGGGTCCCGGGCTCTGATCGGCGGGAGCCAGGCTCCGATCGGTGGTCCCGGGCTCTAATCGGGCGGGAGCCAGGCTCCGATCGGTGGGTCCCGGGCTCTGATCGGTGGGAGCCAGGCTCCGATCTTTGGGTCCCGGGGCTCTGATCGGCGGGGATCCAGGCTCCGATCGGTGGGTCCCGGGCTCTGATCGGCGGGATCCAGGCTCCGATCGGTGGGTCCCGGGCTCTGATCGGCGGGAGCCAGGCTCCGATCGGTGGGTCCCGGGCTCTGATCGGCGGGAGCCAGGCTCCGTTCGGTGGGTCCCGGGCTCTGATCGGTGGGAGCCAGGCTCCGATCGGTGGGTCCCGGGCTCTGATCGGCGGGAGCCAGGCTCCGATCGGTGGGTCCCGGGCTCTGATCGGCGGGAGCCAGGCTCCGATTCGGTGGGGTCCCGGGCTCTGAATCGGTCGGGAGCCAGGCTCCGATCGTTGGGTCCCGGGCTCTGATCGGTGGGAGCCAGGCTCCGATCGGTGGGTCCCGGGCTCTGATCGGCGGGAGTCAGGCTCCGATCGTTAGGTCCCGGGCTCTAATCGGTGGGAGCCAGGCTCCGATCGGTGGCTCCCAGGCTTGACGGCCAACTCCGATGGCTGCAGCAGACCGTCTTCTCCAGTCCGTGCTTCAGAGTTTGCCGTTCATTCACGCCATGGTCATCACCACCAAACGCAGTCTCGTGATAGAGCGGATGTCCCTAAGGGCCCGCGCTATGGCGGGACCGCACATGGTCAAGGCATTTGGCACAGCTTTAAATCCGGCATGGAAACTAAATCAGCACAGCAGCGACAACAGGTACTGGTGCCCCTTGAAACGGTCGCAGGTCGAACAAGAACCACGTTGCAAATACCTTCCTCTCCTTTCAAGGGGAAGCAGCTATAGTTCATCTGCTGAAGGGACGCGGCGCAGAGCGAACGGTTGACCAATGCCATGTTTTCGCCGCGAGCGCCAAACATGACGTTTGCAACTAGCGTGCAATCGCCTCTAGCAGTTGCTGGACGCTTTGGGTGCCTTTTGAGCGGAGTAAAATTCCAGTCAGCTAAAGTATCCAGTCTTCAGATCAGAAGTACTCGGTACTTCAGTTACTCTGGCATCTGTTTTGGGGTGCGCGCCTTTGATGCACCTGCGCATACTAGAAGGCGCATCCGTGCTGCTGGTGCGGGAGATAGCAGCGTACACCACACTCCGTCAGTCTATCAACAACATAGTTAACGCTGCATGACTACGTGACCGCATATAGGAATACCGCATGTGACGATATGCTGTGCTGTGTTATCTGTTGCATGCAGTGGAAAACTTCAATTACCATGATCTTGTTTTCTTGTACGAAGTATTTTTCTAAGCACGCAAAGCGCCACGTGCATTAGAGCGATAGATATGCTAGCGGTGTGCAACTTTGCAATTTTTGACCCGTGATGCTGTGAGCAAGTTATCAAAACTTCACTTGAAGGTTCTGTGCATATTACGGCTTACGTGCTTAAGTAATTCCAACTACCGCCATGCGGCATGTACATATTTTGTACGTGTGTTTTCCAAGGGCAAGACTGTCAAACTAATGCGCGCGTGCAATGATACCCTGGTATGATAACCTGGACAAGTGATGAGAAGGAGCATAATTTCTGCCCGCCGTGTGGTTTTGAGACTGAAATGCAGCAGCGCGCTGTCTGAGTCCCTTCAGTAATAATTCTGGACATCACATGAGGATGCGCGTCAATGTTTGCATAAGCGCTGCAGCGGCGCGTTTGCTCTGAGCTCTCTTCTTGAGCTCTCCTCCTGTCCACAATTCCCCGTGACTAACGCTAAGCGCAGGCGGAAGAGCGCCGCCAGCCGTCTCCCCGCCTGCGAGTCGGCATGGTATGTCCGCCTCCGTGTGGGCGCAGCGATGCCGCTCCTGCGTGCGGCGTGCCTCTGCGCCGAGTGATGTCAGCGGCGCCTGTCACCAGGAGCTACCGTGGCGGTCCGACAGATCGCGCTCGCGTCACTGTTGCCGTCCCGCGGCCGTCCGCGGCCAGTCCCCCCCCCCCCCCCCCCCCCCCCCGGTGCACTGTCGCTACCACAACCTCGCCGAATGCCCCAGCCTACCGCTGACGAGAGTCGTCTTTCTGTGTCGGGGCGCACCCGCGGGGCTTTGGGGCCTCTGAGCGTCCTGCAGTGTTCAGCGCACCCGCGGGGCTTTGGGGCCTCTGAGCGTCCTGCTGTGTTCAGCGCACCCACGGGGCTTTGGGGCCTCTGAGCGTCCTGCTGTGTTCGGCGCGCCCACGGGGCTTTGGGGCCTCTGAGCATTCTGCTGTCTCCAGCCAAAGGGTATTCGGGGCCTTTGAGTGTGCTGCTATGTCCGGCGCGTCCGCGTGGGTTCGGGACCTCGGAGCGTGCTGCTGTGCCCAGCCCGCGGGTGTTCTGAGCCTCTGAGCGTTCTACTATGTTCGGCGCGACCGCGAGGTTCGGGGTATTTGAGCGCTTCGCTGTGTCTGGCGCGCCGCAGGGGTTTGGGGCCTCTGGGCGCTCTGCTATTCCCGACCCACGGGTGTTTGGGGCCTCTGTGTGGGCTGTTGCGCCCGGACCGCGGGTGTTCGGGGCTTCTGAGTGCACTGTCATGCCAAACCCGCAGGTGTGCAGGGACTCTCGAGTGTGCTGCTGAGCCAGGCCCACAGGTGTGCAGGGACTCTCGAGTGTGCTGCCGAGCCAGGCCCGTGGGTGTTTAGGGACTCTCGAGTGTGCTGCTGAGCCAGGCCCCTGGGTGTTTAGGGCCTCTTGAGTGTGCTGCTGAGCCAGGCCCGTGGGTGTTTAAGGCCTCTTGAGTGTGCTGCCGAGCCAGGCCCGTGGGTGTTTAGGGCCTCTTGAGTGTGCTGCTGCGCCTCAAAGCTGACCGCTGCCGAGAGCTGCGCTCCGCTCGAGGTTCTACCGCGTTAAGGGATGTGGGGAAGGGGTCCAGACCGACACTGACTCCAGCGGCTCTGCTGCGTTAAGGGATGTGGGGAAGGGGTCCAGACCGACACTGGCTCCAGCGGCTCTGCTGCGTTACGGGATGTGGGGATGGGGTCCAGACCGACACCGACTCCAGCGGCTCTGCTGCGTCACGGGATGTGGGGATGGGGTCCAGACCGACACTGACTCCAGCGGCTCTGCTGCGTTACGGGATGTGGGGATGGGGTCCAGACCGACACTGACTCCAGCGGCTCTGCTGCGTCACGGTCACGGGATGTGGGGAGGGGTCCAGAACCGACACCGACTCCAGCGGCTCTGCTGCGTCACGGGATGTGGGGAGGGGGTCCAGACCGACACTGACTCCAGCGGCTCTGCTGCATCACGGGATGTGGGGAGGGGGTCCAGATCGACACTGACTCCAGCGGCCCCGCTAGCGTCACGGGATGTGGGGAGGGGGGTCCAGATCGACGCTGGACTCCAGCAGCCCCGCTACGTCACGGGATGTGGGAGGGGGTCCAGACCGACACCGACTCCAGCGGCTCTGCTGCGTCACGGGATGTGGGGAGGGGGGTCCAGACCGACACCGACTCCAGCGGCTCTGCTGCGTCACGGGATGTGGGGAGGGGGTCCAGATCGACGCTGACTCCAGCAGCCCCGCTACGTCACGGGATGTGGGGAGGGGGTCCAGATCGACACTGACTCCAGCGGCTCTGCTGCGTCACGGGATGTGGGGAGGGGGTCCAGATCGACACTGACTCCAGCGGCCCCGCTACGTCACGGGATGTGGGGAGGGGGTCCAGATCGACGCTGACTCCAGCAGCCCCGCTACGTCACGGGATGTGGGGAGGGGGTCCAGACCGACACTGACTCCAGCGGCTCTGCTGCGTCACGGGATGTGGGGAGGGGGTCCAGATCGACACTGACTCCAGCGGCCCCACTACGTCACGGGATGTGGGGAGGGGGGTCCAGACCGACACTGACTCCAGCGGCTCTGCTGCGTCACGGTCACGGGATGTGGGGATGGGGTCCAGACCGACACTGACTCCAGCGGCTCTGCTGCGTTAAGGGACGTGGGGAGGGGGTCCAGATCGACACTGACTCCAGCGGCCCCGCTACGTCACGGGATGTGGGGAGGGGGTCCAGATCGACACCGACTCCAGCGGCCCCGCGACGATGGCGACCCTGCGTATTGGAGCGCGACCTGGGTCTTGCGGGAAGGTAGTGTGTGCGTTTAACGCTCCTACTGTGTTGTGCCCAACTGTGCCTATATCTTGGCTTGTCAGAGTCAACGTGGCCTTAACTGTGAAATCATCGACGGCTTTTGTTGAGTGCTACATTGCTCGCTTTATGACATTTCTTCACTTTTTTACCATTTCAGCAAACTATTTACATCCAAAGCGAGCTTTCTACCAAATGACTTGCTATTCGTGTCATATGAAACATGAGTGTTGTGAATTGTGTGCCTAAGACCCCGTCGTACTTCACGCAATATAGAAGTGGCGGGAAAACGTTGCTATGTCCTCTAAAACTCTGTCCAATATATTCTACTGTAATCTGAATTAGTCACCAAAACAGGAACACTACGCCGATAAAACAGAGATGAATGATACTTTAAGCCAGGGTAGATGTCACAGCTAATCTATAAGGGAAATCGACTTACCAATAAGCTTCGCGAACCTGTTGCCTCACGTATCGCGCGGATGCGAATGGACGCCGCAAAACATCAATCGTTGTGGTTCACTTCACAGTGCCCAACAGCCACCCGTTCACCACTGCTGACAGAGCCCGTCCTGCAACATTTACACTCATCACTGTGATCAGATAGGTCACATCTGGAAGCAACGTAACCGCATGGTCAACGGCCTAGTTGTTCCGCCCTACAGAACTCGCGCGCAGCGTTCACCTGCCACTTGTTACGAGTCCCTGCCCGTGACATGCGTCCGTGGGACAATCACAGCGTCCACCCACCACACTTGTCTGCCTCACTCTTCCGGCACATAAAAGTTACACGGCCTCATTTTGGCATTATGCAAGCATTCTGTAGATCCAACCGTGACTTGCAAGGGAACAGTCGCTAGCTTCAGGTCAAAAAGTCAGTTCAGCTTTAAGAGAAACAGGGGTGCTGGCGCACCCGGCTTGCAGTCGGTCGTGCACCTGATGCGTGGTGTCGATTCTCCGAGACTGCCCGAGCCCTGCCTCGCTATGGTCTCGTCACAGCCGAGCGAGCGTATCAATCACGGAGACCATACTACTTCGGTGATAATGAGGTAACTCTAAGCATCTACGGTAATGACCACCTGGTCTCCACCAGTGGATTAAAACGAAAGCATTACAACAGCTCAGCATTCATCCAAAACCTTTCGAGCAATTTCATACTTGTTGGTCTACCGTTTTGTAGACAACTTCAGACAGGATCGCGTCGGAAGGGCACAACCGGAGCAATCGAGAAACGCCGTCCTGCATTTTAAAATATATTCGCTTGAGTGGGCTGTTTACATTAAAACGGTCATCACAAAATGAGTGCAGTGCACGCTTCTCAATCATCATACGACAATAGTTCCAGAAAAAAGACGGAAGCCGCCTCCGATCCCATCGAGATACGGGCTACTACCGTCCTGACAACGCGCTAAGCATACGACACCGGCATCTCAAAGGGCCAAAGACAGAAAGACCAAAACTAAACTACCCAGCGCATCGAGGCAGCTGCAGTGCTCTGTCTGCCTCCTACACCTATATATAGATACTGGCGTATAACGCAAGGCGCTCTCAAAGTGACGCTCTCCATCGTTCGACGTCGCTCCGTCTACAAGTGTACCACCGCATATATATATATATATATATATATATATATATATATATATATGTATATGTTTAACTTATCACAGAGACTGACAGACGAGGGATACCACCCAGATCTAGTGACTAGCAGACGGGTCCGGGCTGCGGAGCGGGCCCCAAGCTCCGGCAGCCAGCCGGGCGCGTACTACCTCCGCAGGCCAGCCCTCGTGGGCCCCGCGCGCACCAGCCACACCTGACCGCGGAACGGGAGGGGAAAGGGGGGGGGGCGACTCGCCGCCACCCCGGACGACGCGGAAGCGCCGCGCACATCGACACGCACGCACATCGAGACGGCGAGAGCGGCCTCCGAAGAACTGCGGATGCAACGCCAAATCAAACGGGTTTCTTCTGCAGTGCACTGCGACCGCCAACGGCCAGTCGCAACACCAGCTGTCGGGCGGGCGGCTCAGTTGAACTCGCGGTTGGTGAGGATGAGCGGCGCCACCAGCGACCAGGCGTACAAGGCCAGGCAGAGCCATGAGGACACAATCTTCACCCACATGGAGGCCGAGTTGTTGGAGATGGAGCGCAGGTCCGAGTTCGGGCTGCCGGAGGCGGATGTGTCAGCTGAATAGGTAGCCACGCCAGCATTCAATATTTTCGGTCGAAACACAGAACAGCACAGGTCCTACCCGGATGATTCCCGTCAATCAGCTTTAAAACAGCAAGAATAGCTCCGTGCATGAGCTATATATATATATATATATATATATATATATATATATATATATATATATATATATATATATATAGTGTGTGTTATACAGCTCACATGTGTCGCAAATATTCTGCCCCAAACCCGTGCTTGTAGACATGCGACATGATCACGACATCCAACGGCCGCCACGCGCCGGCATGTCCAGCGCGGCAATGCCCAGCTGGCGCCACTCGTCTCCTGTCCTCCGACTCCATGAGTTCGCGCCCGGTGAGCACAAGCGATGCTGTCGTGTCGGCCGTCGCCGCTCGGCTCGTGTCAATAGGCCGCCGGCTGGCTAGCAGCGGTCCGGGGCTTCGATCGCGCCCGACCGGCTTCAGTCGCAGCCTTGGAGTCTGGCCTTGGACGCTGAGCCCGTCTGGCCAGGGGCGTCTGCTCCGACGCGACGCAATCATGGCGTGGTCAGCCATCACGCGGCGGCTACGACGAGGCTTGGTGGGCGCATCGCGGCACCTCACGGGCGTCCCTACTCAGGCGTCAAGAACCGCGACATAGCTGGAAGTCCAGCTCTACAAGAGTCAGGAACAGCTACCGGCTACACTCGACTGCGTGTATGTTTACAAAACGCCTGGACCTGCGCCCGCAGATCCAAGCGGGGTTTTCCTGGTGAACCCAACACAGCCGAACATACCAAACGGCCGCTGTCTACGAGCGACAGTGCGGGGACGGGACACCCTGGGCCGCGGTGTGTGACGTGCCTCACAGCGGCGGCCAAAACAGGCCGGCCAGCCTCAGCTGGTGCTCGTGACCGTCAGTACAGTGATGGGACGGTCCAGCCCGAGGTACAGGCCCGTAGCACAGAGCGCAGTGGCAGCCCAGCCAGGCCACAGCTGTGGGGAGGCTAGGCAGGTAGTGCTCGGAGTGCGACCGCCTGCGACGATGGCGCAGCGCGAGTGCGTCTGCACGCGTCCACCTCAACCTACCTGGAGACCGCACTGTGTCACATGAAAAGCACGTGCAAATGTCACGAGGCGTCACGTCCAAACAGCCCGTCACCATCGCGTGCGTGACGGACGAAAGGCGGACGAGGAAGCCCCATCAGCTTAGCGAGGTGGCGGGGGTGAGCTAGGCCAGGGCCGCGGATAGAAGAGTGACTTGACGATCGAGGTCGCAAAATGCATTCGCGCAATGCTCTCAGTGTGGTGCGTATTACACGTGCGAATGTCGTTGGCGGACTGGTCCCAACGCATTGCGGACACGACACATCGCATGCTCGGTGCTTATCAACGCCCCGCAACGAACTTCCAGAATTGTGAAAAGCGCTCAGACAAAAGTACTAAGTCGATCGACCCCCACTCCCAGGAATTAAACCCTGCATTATTGACGCTTGCCCGGGCGCGCCAAGCCCAGCTCATCCCGCAAAAGGGTTGTGAACACCAGCACAGGTCACTGAGGTGCCAATAACGGTACGGGCCTCGGGCCCCCCGACTGGCCGACTCCTAGCAGAGTGGGCCATGCAGTACGGCAGCCGCTTCCGGATCACAGGGCAAAACTGTCTTCATCAAACCTCAGCCCCGTCTCCGGACGTTTTGTCACCTCCGATTCGGAGTTGATATTCAAACCAGCGATCGGAGAAATCAAAGTCATTTTGCCAGCGGTGTAGCGGCGGTCCAGTCGCTTCACTAGTCCAAACCGCGCCCTCTTGCTTGTCGTGACTTGCGGTGGCTTATGCCGCTTGGCGTGGTGTTTTGAACTCTTAGGACTCGGAATGGTATCCCCTACCACCTTTCCAGCTGATGCCCGCTACAAATTCTTTACCCATCCTCCCCGGACCAATTTCGAGGGAGCTGGCGGATCGGCCCACGAGACGACGTCACGTGACCGGCGCCGTTCGCATCCCCCAGCCGGATATACACGAGGACCAGCTGGTGAGCGTCAGCACGACGGCCCACGAGACCACGCCATGTGACCGACGCCGTCTCCATCCCCCGGCCGGATACTTACGAGTACCAGCTGGTGAGCGTCATCATGACGTAGAGCGTGGCCAAGGCGAACATCAGGTGGAAGAAGGACCAGCTGTAGGCTACCGTATCCTCCTCGTTGTCCCAGACCTTGGCGGTCTCGGCGTCGCTCGCAGTACCGCCACCTGAAGACATATCGTCCACATTCAGACTACGCGGTCACACAACAGATGGCGAGCTACGTGACAGGTCACGTGATGCCCTAAACGTAAAAATACAGCTACAGTTACTTACCGTCAGCAAGCGACATCGATGCACACACCATAAACTAAAGAAGTCCTGTCCGCATTGTTTTGAACACCGAAAGCGCACACAAAAGAACAAATACATGCACTTCGAGGCCAATGACCCGACCAACATAAGGCCCATACAAAGTAAACATAAGCAAGATAGCGTTCCATACATGTCTTTCGTCCGAATGGTCACTCCGAACGAAAAAAGTGCAAGAAGAGGGAGCCGAATCGTTCAGCGCTTTCATTTGCATGACAATGGCAGGAAGCAAACAAACGCGATTTTGACGAGCGAGCGAGCGAGAGCGAGAGCGAGAGCGAGAGCGAGAGCGAGAGCGAGAGCGAGAGCGAGAGCGAGAGCGAGAGCGAGAGCGAGAGCGAGAGCGAGAGCGAGAGCGAGAGCGAGAGCGAGAGCGAGAGCGAGAGCGAGAGCGAGAGCGAGAGCGAGGGAGGGAGGGAGGGAGAGAGAGAGAGAGAGAGAGAGAGAGAGAGAGAGAGAGAGAGAGAGAGAGAGAGAGAGAGAGAGAGAGAGAGAGAGAGAGAGAGAGAGAGAGAGAGAGAGAGAGAGAGAGAGAGAGAGAGAGAGAGAGAGAGAGAGAGAGAGAGAGCACAGTGATGATGACGCTCACGGAGCGGATGTAAGGGCAGCGACTTAGTCCCGACGGTAACATTCTGCACCTCCATGAGTCCACGGGACGCCATGAACGTAGCGAACACCAGGACCCTCACGACAGACGTGTCCTTGCTACTGTATACACTACTTGAGAATATTTCGTATAGTCCACGCCCGCTTTCGGCAATATTGGGAAAAGAATAAAGGAGCCCGGATATGGGGCAGGAGGAAGTCTGGTAGCATACCAGTTCGGATGAGATTTCACAAAAACCGGCCACAGTGTGGTCCCTTCACAAAAAATCGAACGAGGGCTAATTCTTCAGGCCTGCGTTTGTTTCGCACGCAGAGATTTGTTAGTAGAGTGGCATGCTTACCTTCCGCATCGACCAGGGTGCTGGCATCACTCGGATTGGCTAAAACATAGACGCCAGTTACCAGTCGATACCGATAGGTGTTATAGAGCAAATAGTAGCCAGTTTCGCAGGGCAGAAACATCATTTAAAACATGACCGATCTTTTATTTTCGATCAGCATACCTTTTTCGACCATAACCCGCCCAAAAATTGATGTCAATGTGCAGCTATCGTCACAAGGTAGTCGCAATGTTGTCAATCGCAGCTACGTAATAAATTGCGATAGAGTGTGCTATGATGATGTTTCATGATGGATGAAACTAGCTACTGATGGCTCTAAAAGCGATAGAGAACACGTACCACGGATAAAAGAGCTGAAAACTAACAGCGAGTTGACACATCCTCGCGCGAAGCGGATGGCGGTTCATCCCAGTGAGCACGAGATGAATGAACGGAACTCGCCCGGCAGGCATCCCATGACAGAATGTACCAGCGCGTGTAACTGCTACTGTGCAGTTGCAACAGTACTGTGTAGCTACTGTGTAGCAAAGTTAAGACCTACGAACTGATAGGCTTGCCAAAAAATCGCGGGACGAGGATATGGCTTAAAGGCTCAGAGGTGCCGTCGATCAAGGGGAAGGTGCCACCCTCGGTTCGCGCACGGCAGCTCTCAGCCGGCCAGTAAAGGCTCAGAGGGGCCGTCGATCAAGGGGAAGATGTTTCCCTCGGTTCGCGCACGGCAACTCCCAGCCGGTCCGTAAAGGCTCAGAGGGGCTGTCGATCAAGGGGAAGGTGCCACCCACGGCCCGCCAATAGCACCTCCAAGCCGGCCGGTTTCGCAGCCCGTTATAGGAGAATGATGAAGTACTGGCACCAACAACCGCGAACCGAGCAGCAGATGAAAGTCACACATGGAATGGAATGTACATTATTGTCTACTTAAGGATGCGTTGAATAATACGCTACCAAGAAGCCGTCAGCGACCGCCCGAATAAGACGTATGCGGCATACATATACCAGGACTTAACGCAGTCACCAAAGCTCCGTAATATCGTGAAATCAGCCAATAGTTTCGACAGCAGCGGACGCTCGGCACAAAACATCCATCTGTTTTCTACCATACAATGGATTAACAACACGTTACGCTGGCACACTAGACGTATGTTAAGCTTCACTCACCACACAACCCCAGCCATTCGGGTCGACTCTACAGAATCACAGCAACACCACGGCGCCGACCATCCAGGCCGGCGTGGCTCCGCCGTCCACCCACGCGCAACCGCGGCCCGCCCAGAAACCGGCACTCACTGGGACAACCCAGGGCACGGCAGCCAGCCAAGGCGGAGTACATTCACATCAAGCGGACCTGTCGCTTGAATTATGATGCGCTGCGTGATGAATGGGCAATGCTAAGGTTTCGGAGCCATGGATCGCGATGTAAAATGTTACCGACCGTGTCGCACAATCATGAGCGTCGACACACATCCCGCTGACGTGCAACTACAGCGACACAAGCTGACGTGTTAACTGCTCGAGCGGTGCGCGGCGTCGGCAGCCGTGCGTAGCACCATTGCTGATTGCTGTATGAGCGTCTGTCTCTGTGTTTGTGCATGTGTGACGAGCTGTCGTGCACTACACCTGAGATGCAAGCAAAGAGGACGGGACAGCCGAGCGAGGGTGGTGAGAGTCGTCGTCCGTACGTCAGCCGGGCGACAGGAGCGTAAAGGGGGAGGGGAGGGGAGGGGAGGGGAGGGGAGGGGGGGGGGGCGGTACTCACCCATGGTTTTGGTGTCCTCCTTCAGCAGCAGCTTGTCGGAACCGGTCAGCTTGGCGTGCTGGGACGAGCTGGCCGTGCTGCAGCACGAGAGGAGACGGTACCAGACGGCTGACCATACCGGGAGGGCGACGGCGGCCATGGCAGCCCAAGCAGCCCCCTCCCCAGCGGAGGCGATCTCAGACGGCTGACCACACCGGGAGGGTGGCGGTGACCGGTGACCACGGCAGCCCGAGCAGCCCCCTCCCCAGCGGAGGCGATCTCAGACGGCTGACCACACTGGGAGGGTGGCGGTGACCACGGCAGCCCGAGCAGCCCCCTCCCCAGCGGAGGTGGCCTCAGACGGCTGACCATACCGGGAGGGCGGCGGCGGCCACGGCAGCCCGAGCAGCCCCCTCCCCAGCGGAGGCGATCTCAGACGGGTGACCACACCGGGCGGACGGCGGTGACCACGGCAGCCCGAGCAGCCCCCTCCCCTAGCACCATCATCAGGCGCAGTGGAGCACGTTGCATCATGCCCAGAACAGGCGCCCACTTGGTACGTGACCGGCGCATGCTTCCACTAGATCATGCATGCCCCATACATGTGAAGGCTAGCGCATCACTTGTGTGCCATTAGCTTTACGATGCACTCAGTTGCTACAGCTATGTGGCGTCGCCTGCCTCTCGCTCTGGCAGGAAAGACGGGCACCACGGGAAGTCAAACCCCATACCTCTGGCTTTACAGACGCCCAGTGGTTAACGCAGACACGTTGACCACTTCACTAACCGCACCCCCTAGCCCATCACTTGAATGCTAGCTACTGGATTTGGCACGGTTCGCGAGAATGAACAGAGAGGATGACAGACGAACATATTGGGGACATAGCCGAGCAGAGCGTGCCAGAGCGCGGCACAGCCAAACAGCGCGGAGGAGACGGGACACAGCTGAGCAAGCTGCGAACAGCGCCCAACGACACTTCACTGAACAGCAGAGACTGCAGGGAGGGGAGAGAAGGGAGGGGGGGGGGGCAACAGCACGTACCGCACGCTGGAGTACAGCACGCAGACGAACCAGATGATCAGACCGACGATGGCCTCGGCGTCGATGCCGGGCGGCTGGTGCCCGGGTGGCGTCGGCCGGCCGCCCGGGATCAGGGCGCCGAAGTTGGGCTTGCAGCTAGCGTCTGCGGGGACAGCGGGGGCTCAGAGCGGCGTCACACGGGCAGGGCTTGCAGCTGGTGTCTGCGGCGACAGCGGGGGCTCAGAGCGGCGTCACATGGGCGGAGGAGAGCGCCGCGCTCCAGCGAGGCTGGGGCAGCTACTGAGCCGCATGGAGCGGAGGCTGGCCGCCTGGGAGCTCAACAGCAGAGGAGGCCTAGCACGCCATGGGGGCTGCGTGACGTTTGTGGTATGGTTACGTTACGTTTTGTGGTGGAAAGTTCCGAGTCGCTCATCACATCAACGTGGAAAAATGATGCCCGAATCACACTGACCAAGCTTCACATAGCTGGTGTTATATTTTGATGCTAATTTAATACGCTGCTGCATTAGTGCGCGTGTTATTTCCTGTTCGCCCCTCGCGTGTGTATGTCCTGTTCGTCCCTCGCGTGTCTATGTCCTGTTCGTCCCTCGCGTGTGTTATGTCCTGTTTGCCCCTCGCGTGTGTATGTCCTGTTCGTCCCTCGCGTGTGTATGTCCTGTTTGCCTTTCACCCCAAGGTGGCATAAACGCCGCGAAGCCAACTTCGACGCTGCCGCCTCACGGTGCCAGGTGACGAACAAGCATGCTGTAGTCATTCCACACGCCATCTCACACATGACAAAACGGCACAGGTTTGGAACGACGCCCCATCTCCGGACCGAGCCGAGGGTGGACCAGCCACACCCGAGCCGAGCGCGCGCCTTGCCGTCCGTCCGGCACCTACCGGGCTGGTTGGCCATGGCGCTCCAGGTGAGGTACATGGTGTAGAGGGTGACGGCGGCCGACTGCAGCAGGCCCGAGCGCGGCTGCGACTCCTGCACCTTGGGCAGCACCGACAGCGCCGACACCACCACACACAGGATCAGGTTGAAGCTGATGAAGAACTTGTGTGTGGCGCAGCCGTCCGGGCGCGTGTAGAAGGCGAAGAAGAGACCGACGGCCGTGATGGCCAGCGCGTACTGCAGGAACGTGAAGAAGAGCAGAGCGCAGTACCAGGCCTTCGACTCGCTCTCCTCGTAACGCGACACCTGCCGACGGAGGCGTCGGAAGTCAGCCAGCTGGCTCTCCAGCAGGCGACAGCGCTGAAGTGGGCCCCGGCGACACCGGATGACCAGAGTCCCGGCACGCAGTGGAACAGGATCACTCTGGCGCCAACCCTGTGCGGCTCAGCAGGACCCACATTCGCACGGACATCCTCCCCTGGTATTTCATCATCTGATCTATTGATTTAGTAGAAATGTACCACGAATGATTGCTTTTAAGTTTTCGTTCATGCTCGGCGACCACTGAAACATCTTGTCCGCTGCATGATGACACGCAATGCTTGACGCTTGCCATAGCCATGCGAGCTTATTTCAAGTGATAAGTATTAGTACATCACGTTTCGGTGAAAAATCCAAACACCAATCTATAATTTCAAAAGTATCTACAATCAATAAACAACAAACAAGAAATATCATTTACACTAGCTTACCAAATCGTGAACAAACCTTAGATATATTCAAAGACTCGATGCCTAAGAGTTCAAGAGCACAGACCACGGCCCAACCAACAAAACCCAGCATTAGATAGCGAGCAGCAAAGGAGCCGTGGCGCAGGGACAGACTTCTGTATGAGCTCTAAAATGTGCACTGAATGAAAGGAATAGCATGACTGACAGTCTGTACATCATGGGACCTGAGCGGCATGCATAGTGCAATACTGTAAAGACAATGATGGGCAACGACGATGTTTCAAAGTTTTGCATGACTAAATATCACATGATTTCTACCTAGGTGCTTGTGTTTCCACAATTCAACAACACATAATTGTCTTGCATTACCCACTGATATTCTAAGTTGGCTAGCGTAGCTCCTGGGGCTACCAATGTGATACATGGTACCTGTACTTGGCACCGCAAACATCCATGATATCCCCAGCAGCTGGATTAAAGGCCCGAAATTCATGCTGTCGGACTGTCCTGCTGACCTCACACTGCCAGACTGTCATACTGACATACCAGACTGTCACAGCACGGTCTGGGGGAGCACTGACCCAGCTGTCTGCCCAGGAGTGGGCGAAGTCGATGATCAGCACCAGCTGGATCAGGATGAAGAGGAAGCCGCCAATCATGCCAAAGTACATCCACCAGTTGAGGCTCCCAGCTGCAAACACAGGCATGACACTGACTGATTGGGCCAAGAATTCTGCAGGCTGCTGGTGTTCTCGGCGGAATTATGCCACACAAATAAAAAGACACGGTGTCCAGCCATACAAGATGTCGAACAGTTGTGAACAATTATTAGGGTGGAAGTGTTCCCAAGGCAGTGAAAGCCGCCAAATGGGACGTGAATATCGCAGCCCGCTCTAGCATCGCACAGTGCCCCGTGCCCATTGGAACATCCACTCAGCCAGCTGCAGTGTTCAGATCTCTGTCCCTCTCACCTGGTATGAAGAAGGCTCCAATCATTCCGCCAATCAGCAGCAGGTACTTGATGCCCCAGAATCTGCAGCAAGAACACCCATTTATTACCTGAAAGACCTATCTACTGTCTGTATCTATATAAACAACTGAGACATCCAATGATTCGAAATAACTGCTGGCAGCCAGCATATATTGCCATCAGCTGCTGAACCGACATTACGACAACGCGCTAGGAAATAAAAAACACAAGGACAGAAATTCCCAACAGTGGACGCACCCGTTTTGTACTGCTGCTCGGCCGTCCTTAGAGGATTTGACGTTGATCATCATGAGTGCCATCAGGGCGAAGAAGAGGGTGGCAATGAAGCAGACCCGGTAGACAGCCATGTAGCCGACAGCAGTGCTGCAATCCAGCTTGATGCCGTTGGGAGCGTGATCATTGCAAAAGGGCACCTGTCAACAACGTGCATGGTCTGGTACCACAAGGAAGGTGTCTTCCATGACGAATTATCTGTCGAAACTAAAGCTGGTCAGCATGAGGGTACACAGGCGATCCTGCACCTGTACAGCACAACACATGCAAGCCAGCAGCCAGAATTCCTGACATCAGCAACAACATGAACATTATTTAAACAATGGCTGTTGGTAGTGCAATGCCATGGGCCTACGCAATACAATTATCATCTTGATGAAAGCAGATCCTGGGCTAAATTATGACATAAGGAAGCTGTGTTTAATTTCTTGCAATACAATGCCACATTTTCATAGCGGTATCTGCTGACTCTCCTCCCACCCCGGATTCTAACCCAGACATTGGTTTATTGTTCGTCTTCACGCCACACCACGTTTAGGATCTATGCTAGATTTCCCATGGATAGGGAGTTCATTCCTTGCTTACTGCTCCTACCACCAATTCTGATGTCCTCACACGATTTGCAACGCAAGGACTGAGCATGTGCTGGGCTAGGCCAAAATAGTGTCAAACATGGCAATCCATGACCGTCATATCTGTAACGAAACAAGACACATCGAACAAAGGCTAATATAGCGCGACCAACCTTCTGCATGGTATCCTGGAGGCCGGGAGCCAGCAGGATGCAGGAGAGCACGGTGACGGCCAGCAGCATCAGGGCGTACATGATGCGCGAGCTGGTGGAGTTGGCGCATGATGGGCAGGCGGAGCAGCAGAGGCTGCAGGCTGCTGAGCCGCAGCAGCACGCCAGCTGAAGAACAAGCCAGTGCTGGTGAAAAGCTGTGGACCTGACAGGTGCAGACGTAGAAAACAACAGCACACCACCTATTTCATTTCAGACAAGTGTACAAGATTCTTTACAAAGCTTTCATCATCCCAAGAGCTCAGATGGTGTGAGCGTCTGCCTTCCGATTCGCCCACCCCAATGGGGGAGGGGTCGCTTTAGATGCTCGATTCACCTTAGATGCTCCATTTGCCCTTGACAGGCGTGACCTGTGGCCAGTGGTAGCGGTCGCACTAAAGGTCAGGTGACGTCAGATGGAACGACGGACCATGCCAGGCATTGCAGATGCAAAACTTTCACCCCCAAATTATGCTATCAACCAGAAATTTCATGAACAGGTAATAGGGGTCTGGGCTCACACAACAAGTGCTGCTTAGAATGAGCTTTGATCACAGAAAGCCAGCCATCCAAAGGTTCTGATTTAACAATTTAAAAGGCTGGTGAGCATGGAAGAACACAGGTTGTGTATAAATCAATGTAAGGTGATTAACTCAGCATCATGACAAGGCAACAACTCAATTAGGCAACAATAGTTGACACAGAAGCATGCAAATTAGAGTGAAAATGTTAGCATTGCTTGGTGGTACTTCATCAAATTGGGCAAGCAAAACACTACAAGTTCAGTATATGTAAACTATCTGTCTTTGTCCAAGTTGGATGAATGTAACCTTTCTCTCTTTGAGCACAAGCTATATGGACATCTGGCATGACTTGCCTTGCGCTGGCAGGTCTATAGGAAAATGGTATCCTTCTTAGCAATTTAAAACAAAGATTGGGAAGAGGGATACCAGTGGTGTAGACACTAAGATGTACATCTGGAAAACCAGGGATGTGGGATTCAAAGCCCTGCATTGCCTGCCCTTCCTGCCAAGGTAAGGGGCAGGCAATACCACATAGTCTTGGCACTGAATGTCTCATAAAAGCCCCAATGGCATATTTATGTGCAAAGCAGTAGGCTTAAGAGCTTGCTAAGATCCCATTTGATACAGCACTGAAAGTATTATAAAGGACTGACAAGGTTGCACACACAAAATTTCACAGGGTGTGGACATGTTATCACCCACCAGACTCACTGTGGAATGCAGGAATGGTAGCATGGATGAGAGCTCCAAACTATCATTATGGGGATGATGCCAAAGACAAGATACTGAAGTTGGACAACTTAGCAATCTCATACAATTTGGTATGAACAGTGTGTTAGAACATCTGCCTCGCATAACACCTTCGCAAGCAGAGGTTTGCCCATGTAGCATTCATGCATGAATTTCACTAATTCCATTTTTGAAAATCAGCTGGCTGTGAGTTTGGTAAGATCTGGCCATTCCCATGAAGCAAGATGTCAAGCTATTATCAAATAAAGAAAAACAGTAATTCCAATAATTCATGCCTTTGATCAATGCATGACAAAAACTGAGTACAGTTTGGATGCATGTTGGTGACAATTGATTTACTGGGTGTTCATACATATTCATTGATTGAGTCTCATTGTCCAGGCAATTATGTCATATTCAAGATCAACAACTTCCTAGGTTAATACTTGCATATGAATGGATGAAACATCTTTGTTTAGGCCATTGTGTCACATTCCAGACCAACTTCTTCCTAGTCACATGCCTCCACACTACTGGGTCAGACATCTTTGTTGAGGCCATTATGTCACATTCAAGACCACCTTCTTTCTGGTCAAATACTTGCATACCAATGGGTCAGACAGTCACACCACAGTGGGATTTGTAGATGCTGAATTTGCCCATAGCTGTACAACACTGTTTTCAAAGCCTGTTCTGCTGTGGTTGCCAATATGTAACCCACAGCTAACATAGCATCAGCTCTTGCCATGGCCCAAGCTGGGTGACTAGCTTGTACTAAGAGTACAAGCATTGTGTGACTCCATGTACAAACTGATACTTTTGGTAGCATGATAGTTCATTTCTCCATTAAAAATAAAGATAAAGGGAGTACTCAACTGGTGCAAAGTTTGTACCAATGATGTGTGACCTACTTAACCTGCCTCTCAAAACCAATCAGCTCTTCTTTTCCCAGACTGTTTATTATGCTTAAATGCGAATTTCCTCCGTCAAGCCATAATGTACCCCGGCCTGCAGAGTGTCACTGCAAAACATCTGAAGCGATATGGCTGAAAGTTGGGGCATGTGAGATCACAGACCAGCATGGGGCCGGTTGGGGCATGTGAGAACACAGACCAGCATTGCATACAGGCATCACAGTTATGCTGAAAGAAGTGCTGCAATCAGTCTTTTTCACCAGATTTGGGCCATAGTCCTGTTCCTGCCTACACTCCACATGCTGTGTGGGTCAACAACAGCATAGTCTAATGATAATCTTCACAATAAATGATAAGACAATACAAATACACTACTTTAACATTACATTAAGCCCCAGCATGACAGTATTATAAGAAATTTCTCCACCAACCATGTGGCCCATGAATGAAATAAGCTGCCTAATAGAAGCCAGAAATAACTAACTCAAGTTTTTAAGATTGGGAAGCACTTAATAGAGAGATGAATGACTTATGAGCTTCTTTATGAATAGAAGCTAAGAGAAACATTTGAAACAACTGAGCATTCTAAGTGAGCACCCAGTGAAGATGATTTAAATTACAACAGTACAGCCTGCAATGGTAAGGTAGCAAAGCAAAGAGGGGCCCTCTGGCTTATTGTTGCACTTTGCCTTGTAGCTAAAGGTCTTCATGTGTACAAACCACCAGATATGCAAACCCATAGCCATGCATGTCAGCATATTTTTTCCTATTCTTATAGGAATACATTCCAGCGCCGCCGTACTAATGGTATCTGGCTGCGAGACAAAGGAAATCAATACCAGCTCCAATACTTACACACTGCATTCTACGAAATAAACCCTAAGAGTAAAGGTTTAGAACACAGCATAAACATTGTTGCAGTTCGTTTTATCAGACAACCCTTCACGCAGCCATGGAAATGCAGACAGGCAAAGCTGAACACTTAAAGGTAGGAGTTACGCAGGTACCTACCTGCGAGGCAGTGCATATCCCAAGCACCGCACCCATGTCCTCGTCCTACGGTGGGCAGGGTAACACGAGATGTGGGAAAAACCTGCAAAAACTTAAGTGGTCTCCTTTCACACCCCTCCCGGTCTCCACAACCCCCGCCCTGCCGCAACGCGATGGGCTCGCGCGATGGGATATCAATCGCACCAATGTCAATGGACCAAAACAAACGACCTTGAATGATGACGCATATTAGACAAGGCTTGCCACTGTTTCAGTTGGCGTGAGCTCCACTAGAATTTTACAGCTGATTGATAGAATCTCGAATCCTGTGACCTGAAATAAGCGCCATATATATGTTTTTTTCCTAGAAAGTACCATTTTGTTCCCTTCATTTTTGGTTTAGGTATTTAAATTATTACTAAAAACACTTTTTGTAAGACATATAGGAGAAGTAATACAGAGAGCTATAAATAAATTTACAGGCAAGGATCGGTCAGCTGAAGAAGGAAGCGAAAGGCAGATCAGACAAGATTGCCTCGGGCCTCACGAGTTCAACGAAGGCGCCGGAGTAGTGCTGCGTGGGGCGGGTGGTGAGAGTGGGGGAGACAGTAATCGTACTGTCTGTGGAAAATTGGTAATCTGTGCCGGCCAATACAGGCAGTAGGTGAGGTCAGGCTTGGTTGTAACGGATCCACGTACAACAAACATTTCGTAAGAGTGCAGAGCTGTGCATTTTAGGACTTCTGAAACTAGGTTTCCTTGGGGTCTGAATATGGGGGAGCCTGCCAACAACACGCAAAATATAGCAGACTACTTAGCGCAGCTACTGAAGGATCGAAAGCAGATCACTGCATTCCCGAACGTCTTCCTGCATGTTGAAAGACTACTCGATGAAGGTGGGTTTTTGCATTGTGGGTGTTAGCCTGCGTGCCTAGTGAAGTGTCATTGTTTAATATATAATGTGCATCCATTGGATATACAAGGACGGTAAGGTATTGCATGGAAGACAAAGAAGCAGAAGTTGTACCAAATGCTTTCCAGATAATGTCAGCTGCCCCTTCACCCAGGCCTGTATCTGTCTGCTTATAGTTAGGAAACTCTGTTTTCATTAGCAGACAGGCTGCTTGTGAGATTAATTTGTGGTTTTCAAGCTCTCTGGAAAGCCTCCCACCTCAAAGTTTGGTCAGACAATGGGGAACCAAATAAATTGAATAATAGCCTGGCTAGCAGGGCCTGGGAGGACCATGGTGCTGGCCATGATGGTCCTGGCTGAAGGTTGTTAAGTGCACTTACACAGAAAGTGACCCAAGTGTCTAGGCTTGCATGCACAGGCAAATGACTGAGTCATGAAAATGGCTGAGTTTTTTCTGGCAGGGTCAGAACAAATGTGAGAAAATAACCCCACAATTTTTTTTTGTGCCAGGTGGCATGCATTTGAAAATTAAAAAAACCAAGTAGCCCTCTGGCATATCATGGTCATGGTATACATTGCACCAACATATGCCTACACCCATACCACTAACTGTCCTACTCTGGAAATCTATTAAATCTAGTAGCCCTCTGGCATACTACTGACTACCCTGCTCTGCAAGTCTGTCAACATTGACCTTGTCCCAAATTTGAAGATGGATAGTAAAGTCCCCTTACATCAAGGAAGGAGAGCACAGGAAACTCCCCAACTACTGCTCAGTCATTGTTGCCTTGATCTGCATCATCTGATGCAGTGAAGGCTCAGGGAGTCAGTCTCACATCTGACCATGTTGTGGCATTGTTTCATACCTGATGTGTTGCATTCAAAACAGTTGTATCTACCCTGGAGGACTGGGATCCATGCATTAAGAGCAGATGATCATCAGGCTTATGTGTTTCTATTATCTGTAGTCTTTCAGCTCCATTCTGTACATGCAACATCCCTGGAGAATAATGTCAAGGTGTTGCCAGCCATCTTTAGAACTTTATTCAGCACTTTCTGACCACAAAAGGTATGGTTATGGTCAACAGGTACAAATGGAAGCAAGCTCTCTTTGATGTTAAAGTAGTACTCCATAGGGATCAAACATGGTCCCAACTTGCTTCTCTTCCCAATATTGATAAACAAATCACCTGTGTAATGGTCAGCAACAAACACTACAGGCAACATTAAGTTCTATGGCAAGGTAGCTAACCATTATGCACTGGGTCTGGCATAGTCCTACTAGTAGCCAAGTTCAAGTGGCTTTGGAAAAGCAGAGCAAAAGTGACTGGAGATAAGTACTAATGTGCGTTCCATCCTGATTCATGAATGTGGAGTCCAGGTTGAGCATTGTGTGGAATGGCAAAGTTTACAAAGGAACTGAGGGGTGGCAGGTTGCAGATCCCCAGAAATGTGTCAAAGTCTTCAGGTGACAAGGAAACACATATTTGCATTGCTCATGATATCCAACCCAATGCCCAGCTAATTGGAGAGGAAAGCCAGAACCAGAGGTGTCATTTTATGGTAGTTTTTGTTTGAAGTCCAAGCCAAAATCAAGGAATGGACCAGCTGTTTCAGAAAGTGTCAGAAAATTAAGGTTGTTTCCAAAATAATATAAGTGTTTTCTTAATATCACATTACTAGCCTCAGTTAATAATCCCAGTCACTACCTATGTCACTACTTTCTGTCCATCAAACCAAATGAAAAGAAAGAAAATAATTGAAGGTGAGTTATGTAAGGTAATGTGTATCACAGGCTTCTGCAAAGATGTCCACAACTGACAATGGACATTGATGTCTGCTAAGCTTGTCTTTCAGTAAATTAAGCTGCACCATGGCCGCTTAGTCAGATGAGTGGTAATGAATCATGAATAAGAAAGTGATGAGTGACACAGGCTCTCCTGAAGATATCAACATCTATGTTCTTTCTGTTGATGGCCTGAGTTGTGGAAACTTTGTATTGAATGTTTCAAAAAGTGGTATCTTCTAGTTACTGTATCAACAACTTATTGGTGTTCCAGAATAAACTTCTGTTTAACATGAGCAGCAGTAAACAAGTGGAGGTATGTACCACTTTGTGACACAGTAGAATGATATTGCCCATCTAAAAACTTTCCAAGGCTTCTGCTCCTGTCCATCTAATTTTCAATTCGGACTTTGCGATTTTGTGGAACTCCAAAAACTTGGAATCCAATCGGCACCTTGACTACACACAGCCAAAACGCTCCAGGCATAGGACACTTGGCTTTGGGCCGAACATGAGCCATCTCTAAGAGCGATTTGTCTATTCGAGTTGACGCCGTCTTGACTGGAGACCATTGAGCGAAGTTTGTGCAGCGCGCTTATTCCTCGAACGGCTCCCGATGGCTCGATTGGAAGCGGTTCGACGACGCGTACGACGCGCGCTTGGCTCGCGAAAGACCTGCGGGAGGGAGCGTCGTCCAAATGCAACGTCTCCGCCTGCCCCGTGCAAGTTGAAGAACCTGCACCGCCAACGAGCGTACCCCCGACCCACGTGGTGTGTCGCGATACGATTGGTCAGATTCGCGAAGGCTGATGGTGACGCCGCGGGGGACCGCCTGGGGCTGCGTGACGCGAGACCCGGCGCGACAGACGCGGTCGTCCGCGCAGCCGTGTCGCGAACAGGCTCCCCGAAGGCACCGAGGCCGAGACCCGGCGCGACAGACGCGGTCGTCCGCGCAGCCGTGTCGCGAACAGGCTCCCCGAAGGCACCGAGGCGGACTGGGGCGCTGCTGAGCGCGGCGTCGCCGTCAGCGGTCCCGGCCCTGCTTCTCGTCGCCGGACCGCGCCACTGTCTCCGCCATGTCGACGAGAGCCGGAATTTGTTGTAGTGTTGGAAGTCCAGACATCGGGTTGCTGGAGCACTGGAAGCGACCGAGGCGGCCACGTGGAGTTTCGTGTGACAGCGTTTATCTCACAATGAAGCAGTGATGCATCAGCGATAAAGAGTCCAGCGAATAACTAGATCACTCGATTGTCTGCCCATTTGTTCTGGTTTGTCGTGTGATCGTGAAGAGTAATTGACCACGAAATCATACTGCACACCTTGCCTTGTGATGTAATGACCGTAAGCGATCCATGTTTTAACAGTTGTCGTATATGCCTGTCCGTTTTGTCCATTTATGACGCATATCTTGTACGCCCCGCTTGGAGAGTTGTAGGCGAGTTTTGCGGGGCCATTCAATGTGGAGCTGAATTAGAAACTTTTTTCAGCGCTATGTGGGCATAGGAAGGTTTATGTTTCCTAAGCTCTGCTCCAACAACATTTGTTTATACCCGGCGTTGTATGCACAAAGATGCTGCCAAGTCATTCTCAACAGACATTTGCAGGCGCGGAACTGCGACGTAAAGATTGGCAAACTGCATGGTGGACTCTGAAAGGTTTCCTGATGCGGACTCTAGTCATGAAACCCCAACCATCAAACATCGCCTCTGCTCTGCCCCCCCCCCCCCCCCCTACACCCCATCCGCCGATGGACTCAGCAACATTTGCGAGCGATTCGACGGTAGGACATTTGTTTAAGTTTATTGACAATGGGGGCCAGCTCCCCCCCCTCCGAGTCCGCGGTTTAGCCAAAGCGCTGTCCCTGCGAGCAATGCAAAGCAGACGGCTTTTGCATAGCTCATTTGCATATGGTGCCACCCCGGAAATGAGCGAAAACCTGGTGTCGTCACCTCACCGCGCGCCGGCCGTTCCAGGATCGTCAAGATCCCGCGGCAGCCTATTCCACATCAGTGGCAACACGAAGCAGCCGCGGAGCTGCCGAGCCGCAGGGCACGGTGGTCACGCTCACCGAGAAGGTGTACGTGCCGATCCGGGAGCCACCCAGACGTGAGTACAGTGGCCGGCGATGGGGCCCGCCGTCGCCGGCTGCCTCGTCCGCGAGTGCGGTTTCAGACGGTCCGTGGCTACAGGGCGGGGGTCGGACGCAGGGTTAGCTGCGGGCGGCAGCACCCCTTCCGTGCAAGTAACCGTCATAATTGGCATACATTGCCGACGTTTTTTACGTCGTTCTGTGTGCTCAACGCTACCACGACAGAGGAGTGAGCCGCTGGTTCCACTTTACATGAAGAGTTTGTGTGCGACCACATGGCGACCATATGACGGCAAGACAACGTATCGTGCGGCCAGAGTTTGGATGACTTTTGCCAAGAGCATGGACAACCTTTTTCAACAGCAGACGATGATTAACACTTGATCCACGTGTCGGATCAGAGCATCGTC